TATCCAAAATCAGCATATAATATAAAATTAAAGCACTGTCTGTCTAGTTTCCAAAGATTCAAACCGTTCGTCAATTGGATATTCATTGAACAAGTTATGATCAATTTACTACTGACTGTTCAGTGGAAACTGAGAAACGGGGGAAACCAAAATGTGTGTGATGATAAAATAAATGGTTTGGCTGTGGGTCTACAGTTGTCCCAATTCAGTGTATAATATATCAAATTAAAGTCTTGTCTGTCTAGTTTCCAAATATTCAAATCGTTCGTCAATTTGATTTTAATTAAGAAAGCTATGACCAAATTACTACTGACTGTTCAGTGGAAACCGAGAAATGAGAGAAACTGAAATATGTGTAATGATAAAATAAATGGTTCGGCAGGGGGTCTACAGTTATCCAAATTCAGCGTATAATATATCTAATAAAAGTCTTATAATGATATAGTATAATATAAATAGAGTTACATATTTCATCTCACAATAAAACAGAATGGTTTAACTTCTGGATACAATTCTATAATACAAATTTAAAGGACTTATTAATGAATAATGGTTTAGCTTCTGATCAAAATGGTATTGTATTCACTAAAAAGAACATTACAATATTACATTTGTTAATGAATAATGGTTCGGCATCTAGGCTCTTGTAATTCTATAGTACAACATAAAAAGATTTGCATCCTTCCTCTTACAATTAAACAAATGGTTCGGCTATTTGCTACAATTCTATAGGGCAATGATAATTGTTCGGCAACTAGACTCTTATAATGTTACAAACTTAGAATAACATGGAAATAGAGTTACTTCTTCCCTTTTACAATAAAATAGTATAGTTCGGCAACTGCCTCAAAATGGTTCCAATTAATAAAAATGGTTCAATATCTGACTACAATAACATATTAGTCAATAAATTGCAACAGTGCCTAAAAAATGGTTCCAATGAATAAAAATGGTTCGATATCTGACTACAATAACATATTAGTCAATAACTTGCAACAACGCCTGAAAATTTTTCATTTCTAACAAAACATAAATAGCAATAATCAACCACATTTACAAAGGCATAGATAACTAAATACATTACCTTCAGTAGCACGTAATTCGCAATGCTAGCAACAACTATTATGATTCGACTAAAAGTATATACCTACATTTAAAAAAAAAAAAAAAAAAATTTAACAATACACTAGCCAAACCAAAAGAAAACAATTACAAATAACAATTAAAAGTTCAATATCTCTCTTTCTTCACATAAATCATATAACATAGTGTTAATGTATCCACATATATATATGATTCAAAGAAACGTATCCTTTAAGTGATACAACGTATCTCTTCGAATTTAGTAAAATCAACAATACACCTTATCAATTCATCATTGTTCACATTTATTCATGTATATTAATTATAATCAATATTAACTATACATCTACCCTTTCAAATTTTGCGCCCTTTCACATTCTATACCCTCCGCATTCAATTAGAGAGAAACAATGAAAGTCAATGTATAATCATAAATAATTTATCATGAATGTAAATGTATAATCATAAATCATTTATCATGAAGAGTTTCTATTGATCTATTTAATATAATAATAATAAAACATTTAACATTGACAAAACATTGAATGTATCTATTATTAATAGTAATAATACAAAATAGCATAAACCAATAACATGGTGACACTTGAAGCAAATATAGTCTAAACTAATAACATGTTGACACTTGTAACAATTATAGAGTTTTATGTGGCGTTTAAATAACAAGTGCTTCAGGATTATATAGATATATAGATAGATTGAAAATTTAGAATTTTGGATAAATTTAAAAAAATAACAAAAAAACCTCTAAAGTTAATTTGAAATTTATAAAATAATTCTAAGAAATAATTGTAAACTTTGTAAAATTCATGCTTACATTTTAAAGTTTACAAACCGCATAAAGTTTAAGTTTATCCTAATAGATGCTAAGTTTCAAACGCACTACTGATTTTTTAAAATATTTCATAAAAGTATGAAAAATTCTATAAAAGTACTAAAAAAAAAAACCCAAAAAAAAATCCAAATCCTAGTATAAATAAATTAAAAAAAAAAAACCCTCCGAAAATATAAAAGCTATTTAATAATTTTCAAAAATTACTAAAACGCTTAAACAATATTCTTTAAAATGGATGAGATTAACCCTATTAAAATATGCATATCTTTTGTGAGGAAAACATAAAGCATATATCTAAAAGAATAATACTATATGAGTGCGTTTGGTTTAGAGAACGTTGTATTACTGAGAATGTTATATTAATGGAAATATAGATTACCTTGAAGATTATTGAGAATATTTAGAAAAATGTGTTTGGTTGGTTTGAATAAATTTATGGGTATTTTATATTAATATGTTTAGTTGGGAGGAACAAATTGGTGGGTATGTTATATAGATTACTAAATTGTACTCCTTTTAAAATATTAATATAATAATATTATATTTTGAACCATTTTAAAGAATAAATAAATTAAAAAAAAAACCCTCCGAAAATATAAAAGCTATTTAATAATTTTCAAAAATTACTAAAACGCTTAAATAATATTCTTTAAAATGGATGAGATTAACCCTATTAAAATATGCATATCTTTTGTGAGGAAAACATAAAGCATATATCTAAAAGAATAATACTATATGAGTGCGTTTGGTTTAGAGAACGTTGTATTACTGAGAATGTTATATTAATGGAAATATAGATTACCTTGAAGATTATTGGGAATATTTAGAAAAATGTGTTTGGTTGGTTTGAATAAATTGATGGGTATTTTATGTTAATATGTTTAGTTGGGAGGAACAAATTGGTGGGTATGTTATATAGATTACTAAATTGTACTCCTTTTAAAATATTAATATAATAATATTATATTTTGAACCATTTCTTCTCCCCCCCCCCCCCCCCCCCCCCTTTTACATTTGAGATTTTGCTAAAACACCCCAGCCACATAAAAGTTTAATTTTTAATAAAAACACTCTCACCCATCCAAGCCATCGCCGACCACCTAAACCATCGCTTTTCGTCGATCGAGAAGTGCGACGAAGATGTTCTTTGAGGGGTTTTGAAGAGAAGGTGAAGGGGAGTCAATTCGTGCAAGTGGGGGTGATTTCTGGTAGAAAACACAACTGAAAGAGCACCAAGAAAAAGGGAAATCACGCAAAAAAACAGTGGGCTTCTCTGGCGATTGGGGGTAGCTTCGGTAATGGGTTTTGGTGGGTTTGAAGAGGAGGTGAAAGGGAGTCGATCGATGCAAGTGGAGGTGATTTCCAGTAGAAAACGCTACCAGAAAAGCACTGAGAAAAAGGTAAATCGCAAAAAAATAGTGGGCTTTGCCGGCGATTGGGGGCAGCTCCGGTGATGGGGTTTGGTGGGCTTTGAAGAGGAAAACGAGAGGAGTAAGATGGTGGTGGTTGGGACCGACGGTGATGCTAGAATCAACCCAGATCGGGCTTAATACTGGCGGTTGCCCAACCTAAAAAATCTCAGATTCACGGCCACTTTGCCGTTTACAACCATTGATATGACCAAAAAAGGCCATATCGGCGCACAACCGACAAGTCATGCACCATTCCAACGATGTTGGCTACAGACGGTGGTGGTGGTGGTGGTCGGCTATAGCAGTCTTCTTGGGTGGCTTGTAAATTGTTTTAGAAACAGGAGCATTACTGTCCAGAACTTTAATTATTTAGGGTAAAATTGTAATGGTAGAGTTCATGTAAATTAATTTCAAATAAGGGCAGTATTGTCCAAAAATTTTAATAATGAAGGGTAAAATTGTAACAAAATAAGATTACCAAATAATCTCATAATACCTAAGAAAATTGAGGTAATTAGATTGCCTCATATATTACCAAAAGTAACTATTATTGATATTGGAAGATTACCAGAATCTTATATTACCTGACAACCAAATTTGGTAATCAAATAATATATGATGACATTACCTCAGCAATCCTATATAACCTACAACCAAACACCCCCTGTATATATAAACTCTTTATACAAACTTTTTTATTGAAACTAATCTGTCAAAATAGTAAAGGAATGAAAACATGTCAAAACCAACTCATTAAATGCTTAATAAATTTTAATAATTACATTGTCATGTTAGTTTGTATACATTAGTTTGTACATGAACACCAATTTTATATAAACCAAATTATGAACGCAAACAAAAAATGTTTTCACCAGGCTGGATTGGTGGAATCGGTTCAACTGGGACCCGAGGCTTTCACCAGGCTGGATTACCCGTTTCACCATTCACCAAAAACCCTAAAAATTGGGATGATGATCGATGAATAATTGAAAGTCGAGATGTTGGGGTTTTTGAAGAAAGAGTGGCGACGGACTTGATTTTCGATGAGTGAATCAACTAGAAATCCAAAAAAGCAGGTGGCTACAACAACCGACTTTTGTTGGCAATTGGTGAGGCTAACAGGGATAGGGTGAGATGGGTTTTGGTCAAGAGGCTGAGCGGAGTATTCTCATGATGATGGAGAAGGTTGTCAACGCTAACGTCATTGAGATCTGGCCTGAAATGTCCACGTCGATGAGATCTGATTTCAATATTGGATGGATTTTCTAGAGAATGAGATCAAGGGATGATTGGGATTGCATTTGGTGTATTACTACCATCAACCAATCGATTGTTGATTTATATTTAGGGTGTATTTGTTAAATTTCAAACCTATAAGGACTTAACTGTAATTTTTAAGAGTGTATTTATAAATTATAAATTTTTTGTTACCCGGCTTAACCAGCCAATCAACCCAGGACCCAACAACTTTGCCGAGTTTTACCCTGGGTTGGTTATTAAAACATTGTTTCTTACAAAACAATTCACAACAAATCTATTAAAAGAAAAAAAAAGAAAAAAATGATGTCCAAATGGAATAATAATAATACCCCATAGCCATCTTAGCAACATTGATGATTGATGAGCAGCACCAAAAGTTAAACATTCAACCCTCCTGGAAAAGCAAAATTCTGCAAAATAGTATAAATTAGAACACAAACCTGACAGATTAACAATTATTGGTCCTGTAATCAAACACAAAAAAGATGACAATACTCCTGAAATGTGCACAGAGAATTGTGTTTTACATATTTCTATTTTCCCAAATCATAGGTGCTCAAGAGGCATCAAAAGGTTTTGTATGATATGTCAAAACCAATAGTGGCATTCATAAATTAATCATCAGCGGATTCTGAGGAGTGATGAGGGTAACTAGACCATATATCTTCCCATGATTTTAGTCCATCGGTTACAGCCTTCACGACTGTCGCTGCCTCGTCCACGTTAACGCGGATTTGATCCTTGCTATCCCTTTCTCGGATTGTCACCGAGGATGTTGAATCCACAGTGATTGCAAAGGGTACACCAAGTTCATCTGTTCTTGCGTACCGCTTCCCAATTGACGTGCCTGTAGACACCAGAGTGTAAAAGCAGTTAAAATAAAAAATATGGATGCACATGAATGAAATGAAGAATCAATACATGCATTTTGAATGAATGTGCCATGTACTCAAGAATAAACTCATCGGAATATAGTAAAACACGCAGACAAAAGATGCAGATGATCCTTGATTTCCCTATTAAAGAAAATCATGTCTAACAGCTTCAATATTGTTGATGCAAGTGGCACTGATTATTTAATAAAAAAGGGTTTTTGTCTTGAGCACAAACCTGTAATGTCTATCTTATGTGAGATTCCGGCGACTGTCAATGACTTGGAAATCTCTTTGGCAACTTCCTCATACTGTTGATTCTGAACCAGTGGGAAAACTGTGCACTTAATAGGCGCCACAAGTGGGGGGAAACGGAATACATTTAACTGTTCATCCCCAGCTTTACTTGGCCTTGTGTAGAAAGAGTGTTCATATAGGCAATATATTATCCGTCCAATACCAAACGATGGCTCAATTACTGATGGTGTAAAAACTCTCTGGTGTTCTTTCTTTTTCTCCTTTGAAATTGAGACCATGTTCTTCTTAATGCACACATTTTTCCCAAGGGTGCAGACTTGAAACTCCACCTCTCCTTTGGATTCCAGTGCAGCCTTCATCTCCAAAGCTTCTTGCTCGTTCATTGCCTAAATGGTAAGAAGCTTAAAATTATTGTCATACAAGCAGCACCTCTAAAATCATAGCATAAAAAGTTATCGGCATCAATAATTGAGATGTATTTGATATTTACCTCCAACGCTTCAACCACATTCTTTTGGTTTCCCTTGAATGCAAGACCTAGCTCTTTTTTCACAGGAGCTATAACCAATTTCTAAAATTAAGATGTGTCAAGCAATCATGCTACAGATCAAAAAGAAAAAGTTACAAGCAACCACTAACAGTAATGATGATTAAAGCAATACCTCCACTTCCCGAGGTTCTGAAAATTTCTCAGCAGCAACAAGAGGTACACCACTCTTATCCTGTAGAGTAACAGAAAATTAATGCTGAACGAGTATGTAGCATTTCAATGTTTGGATAGTAAAGCACATATATTTTGCCACAACTTTTCTGTTGCACTTTAGTAATTATTAGTAATTACAAGCCATAATTCATTTCCTCCAGTGTTTTATGCTGTCTGGCCTACAACAGTGATAAATGGAGCTAAGCCAAGCAATCTCACAAATACCCCGGCATCGTATAATGATAGTGACTAACCTAAAAATGACTTGATGATCATCTAGTCTACAATTTTAATCATAAAAGTTTCTACAGAGTATCAATTTCTTACAGAGTGAGCACGCAAGTCATATGCAGATCTATCTGCAATACCAACACACTCAATCCACCCATAGGAAGACTCAATCTCAGCATCCCAGCAGTCAGCAGCATAGTGAGCCATTTCATTGGCAAGATGTTGACGGAACCGCAAACGTTTTCTGTTTATACCAAGGCGAGTTAGGAAGAGATAAACTCTCCCAATGAAGTAGCCAAGAGTTTCATTGTTTACAATTCCCTGAAAGCAATGAACAAGACAATCATCAGCAAGGGGGTGGCAACATGAAAAAATAGAGGAGAAATGTCAAAGGCACTAGCAATGATCAAATTAGATATAGTTAAAGCAAACCTTTGAAACAGCTTCACCAAGGCAAATTATCTTTGCAGATTGGCCTGACATTTGTTCTTCCCTTGGAAACATCAAGAACTCCAAGTTTGCAACTTCTGAATATTTAGGGTGAGATTTGTCCTCAGGATCAACAAAGTGCTCAATCTCTGCTAGTGTAAATTCACGAACTCTCAAAAGACCTTGGCGAGGAGATATCTGTACATATGAACAATTTTTTTGATAAATTAAGACCTCTCTCTCTCTCTCTCACACACACACACACGCGCGCACACACACACACACACACAAAATCACACTCAATGATAACATCTCAACAATGAAGAAGAACCAGAGACAATGTTCCATTTGCAGTTGAAAAGGAAAGATTAAAAACCTCATTTCTGAAAGCCTGACCAATTTGAGCTGCAGCAAAAGGGAGCTTGTTCCCATTGTAATAGTACAAATCTTTAAAATTCACGAATATGCCTTGTGCTGTCTCAGGACGCATATACCTGCAGCAGAAAATAAGAAGTTCAGTACTGCTTGAAGGCAGCATAATAATGGAGTGATGCAAAATTCTTTATAAAATTTTAGTAATTCACATATATAAAATTTGCAGATCTTTAACTAGCAAATATTGCCAATGAAAGATGAGTTAGTTTAAACTAAATAGCTGAAATACTCACCCAGGGAGCAAACCAGACGGGCCAATTGATGTTTGAAACATTAAGTTGAATGGATACGGATCAGAAAGTGGATTCTTTGTGTCTGGAGCTGTAATACCATACTCTTTGATCTTTGCACCCAGCTCTTCAGCTGAGAGATCATCCAAGACTGCAAGCACATGCCTAAATTCAGCAGCCTTCTCTGTGGATATGGTAAGGTCTTTCTGAAGCTTCTCATTGCAAAAATCCTTAAGCAAGTGGTCAGCACGATAACAAGTCCCTGTTTTCTCATCCTTAACCATAAGGTCAGTGAATTTATCAACATGACCAGAAGCTTTCAGGACAACCTCAGGAGTCACACATGGGCAGTCAACCTCCAGCATGTTCTCCTCAAGAACAAAATGCTGAAAATGAAAAAAAAAATCTCTTAGTTTCTTACAAAAGAAACCCTATCACTGAATCAGGAATAATTATAAACAACATTACCATAACTCAAATAAACATTTTGCTGTTCCTAAGGGCCCTTTCATTATCGTTTTACACATTTCCTAAGTTTCAACTTGCTTTGTGTTCCAGATATGCCACCAGGGTCCTGCATGTAATCTGGGTATGCTACCGGGCTCCTAGATTCCGGATACGCTACCGGGTTCTACATTAAGGTTTTGAGAAACATTACCAGGGTTTGCATTTGGGAAATTTCACAAGAACACATCACGTTCCAGTAACATTACCCAAGTACTGGATCACCAAGGTTTTGCATTGTGGTGAGATTAACAGAGTGGAGGTTTTGCCCGGATGTTTTATGCGCAAACCAACAATATTGTAGGAGGTTTTGCATTCATCCGGTAACATTACAGGATGTTTTGCATTACTCCAGTAACGTTGCTTTGCATTACTCCAGAGACGTTACCGGATATTTTGCATTATTCCAGTAAAGTTACCAGATGTTTAGCATTAATCGAGTAACGTTAATCGGATGTATTGCATTACTCCATTAACGTTAAAGAATGTTTTGCGTTACTCCAGTAACCTACTGGATATTCTGCGTTACAGTAAAGTTGCCAGATGTTTTGCATTCCTTTTGTAACGATACCGAAGTTCTGAATTCGAGTAACGGTCCCATAGTTTATGAATTTCGGCAAACCAATAAACTCCCTAACCTTTGAGATCATTTCGAAACTAATCGACCACAAAGAATCAGTCACACTCATAGTTAACGGCTTACCTGACGCCAGAAAGCAAGAACGTTAGACTTAACGGCGCAACCGGGAGGCCCGAAATCATAAAGCCCAGCGACACCTCGGTAAATCTTAAACGACGGAATGTAAAACAAACGCCGCTCAAGAGTGTTAAGCACAGCCTGACGAAACGCCTCTCGGCTAACGGAGCCATCCCCGCTGCCACCACTAATAACACTCAGGAGCTCCCTTTCAACCGCCGCCTTCTCAATCTTCAACTGGTTCAAGGCCTCGATCGCGGCGTCGATTTCCGGCTTGGTAGCTGTGGCGGCTTTGAGGGCCCTAATGGCGTTTCCCTGGGCCTCGACAGCGGATTGCTTGGCGGCGAAGTCTCGCCGGAGGGATTCCTCGGTGGTGGTGGCCATTGAGGGTTCGGGAAATGGCGCGTGCGATCGACGCAGGGAGAGACGAGAGAATAAATTGTGGCCAACTAAAGAGGATGAGATTTTGAAAGTGGAAAATATGCGCATGCGAGCTTGGGATAAAAATCTTGGCGTGATTTTTTACTAGGGTTTTGAGATGGTAGTGGTTTTCGGGGCGTTTGGAAAGGGAGATAAGTGATTTCTAGTATGGGTTGAGATAAACCCGGGAATAGTAATAGATAAGGGGTGTGCCAAAAATATGTGGAAACCCAAAATTCATTAGTTTTAAATTTTAAATTTGAAAAATGAAAATAAGAAGTTTGATTTATGTTTTAAAATGTGCATTATCGTTATTTATTATTTTATTTTTGTAAATTGACGAATAAATGAAAAATTACCTTATTAATTTATGATAATCACACTCTATCAACATTTTGGATTATCTTTCTAGTCTACGATTAAATCTTTTACTAGTATGAAGTTAAATGCTAAAAAATTCTCCTATCATATATAAAGGTAAGAAGAAGTTCGATACGATGATGGGAGAACCTAAAAAGGTGTGTGGGGGCTGGTAACCCCACTCGAAAAATTCCATCAATCTAGTAAAAATCAGTTACTTTTGGTTGATTGTTGAAATAATTATTTTATTGAATATACTTTTTCATAATATGAATCGAAGAAGAATATATTATTTGATTTAGTTTTTTCATAATCTGTTATTTTATTGAAATATTTGATCAAAATATTGTATATATGTTCATTTTTTTTATGTTCTGTCATTTGTGCTTAGTTGATTCAAACAGCGTGTAAATTTTCTACATTTGTTGTATTAAAAACATAATTGTGTTTTTGCCTTATAACTGTACCAAATTTATGTCCCATAAAAAGAAGTCTAAAAATTTATGCTGGAGATTTTTATTCATTACATAGATCTCTAGGGGTCGAACTGACAAGTCATTCAAAGCTTGAAGATGCCGTCAGAACATACTACACAATANAAGCCTTCCAACATTTTACTAAATGAAAACATGCAAGCAAAACTAGCCGATTTCGGACTGTCCAGGTTAATCTATAAAGAAAGTGATTCGGGTCTAGACACTTGCCCTGCTGGTACACCTGGATATATAGATCCTGAGTAAGTTCTAAAACTTGACAAAATATTTGTGCAGTTATGTTTATTTAAGTTATTAATATTCTTGGTGAATGTTCATATCACTTCTGTTTTCTGACAGAGTCTATGTAAGTGGGATTATAAACAAGAAAAGTGATGTTTATAGCTTCGGGATTATTCTATTCAGCTGATCACTGGACAGCCTACAATAAAGAGAAGCCTCGGAGACGACAGATACACACTTCAGTGTGTGATTCCGGTTATTGAAAGAGGGGATATCCGAAACCTTGTCGATCCAAGATTACAAGGACAATTCAACGATAATGCAGCTTGGAAAATAGCAGAGATCGCCATGTCGTGTATTACCAAGCGCAGCTCAAAGACCGGACATGAGTCATGTATTGGCTGAACTGAAGGAATGTTTTGCTGTTGAGGCGGATCCTAGAAGACCCTACCGAACAGAAAGCATCAACACAAGTTCAGGTGATTTACTTAAAGAGGTCTGCATTGAGCCTGGAATGGAGATAGTCCCCATCACAAGGTAACTACTGAGTATGTTTTTCCGTTTGCAGGTAGTCCCCATCATTACCGAATGAAAGTTTAAGTTACTTTATAAGCTTTATAAGTTTAAGTTTAAGTAATATAGCACTTCTGGTGGCAATTGTATTGTATGTGAGTTTGTACAATAAATTTCCTTTTCCTAACTACATTGTTGCGAATTTTTTCCATGTCTGGCAATGAAATTTTGGCTAGTTTTGTTGTGATTCAAAATTAAAATTTCAAGAATTAATATACAATTTCAAGAATTTTTAGTTGAATTCTCAGGATAACAATATACCATATGGATAAAGATTGACTCACAACTCAATTTTACAAACTTTCTTTCACAACCCTGATGTGATAGGTCGCAATTGGATAAGGAGGACCCATAGCTAGCAGGTGGAACCCATTTGCGAGATAACTAATTACGAGTTGTCACATTAAGATTGTGAGATAAAGTTCGTGAGATTGGCTTATAAGTATAGTATTACCCATATTGTATACATGCTATGAATTATTGCCCATAGTAGTGGATTCCTAACGATATTCTCTATATCCTTAACTTTTAAAACAATTTTAATCATACATTTTCTAATCAACCAAATGCCTCATCAAATATTATTGTAGACGTAAAAAGCTACCTGTACGGAAGGGGGGTCTGATCCTGCGAGGTTGAGGCCACTAGCGATCTGCTGCACCTGCACACGTAGGAAATACACGCGTGAAGCGAACGGGAAACACCGGGGTGGTGTTTGCCATAGGCACTCCGACACTCAAGTCAACAAGGCTGAAAGGCTAATATAGTGAGGGCTAGGGAGTAAAAGGTTATCGGATGTCTAGTCGGGGACTGTGACTACGGCAGTGATGTGAAGCTCTCAAGTCGGAGCTTTCAGTGTGAAGATGTAATATAATCTCCCCTGAGAGGGCTGGCCTCTTTGCTTATATAGTGACTGTTTGGTCTCCCAATCCTGGTAAAAGTAGGAGTCCTAGTATGACTCTGATGCAAACCCTAGAAGAACTAGGGCCGTGGTAAGCTGTCTTACCAGTGTCCGAATAGGAAGGTGATTCTGATTAGGAGAGTAACTTCGAGTAGGAAAGTGATTAGGAATAGGAAGGTATTCTGAGGGGGCCGTGGGCTCTGGATTCGCCCATGGACCTAAGAAATGGACTGGGATTAGGAGGCTCGTGCCCACGTGGTTTGGGCCGGCTATATCTTGTACCGCATGGGCCTAATCCGGTTTGGTCATATCGGGATTGGGCCTGGCTTCTTCTTCAGTGTCGGGCTCGTTTTCCTATTTGGGCCAAGGATGATTTTTGGCCCTAACAGTTTGCCCCCACTCTCTGAGTTAAGAGTTTCTTAAGTTAAAGAGTAGGAAGCGATCGATGGGTGCTCGGTCATCCTTCCGGGATGATCGGTTGTTGGTGTAGCTGATCCTGCAGGTGATTTTTGTCCCGGGGTCGTTCGGTATCCATTGCCGATCCGAAGTATGCCATCATTGGAGTGCTGTGCCCGATCGGTATGAAGGGCCGATGGAACGGACAATGAGAATTTGGGGCTCATAAGCTCGTTCGGTACGTCCTGTCGACTGGAGAGGTGAGGTGCTTCTATTACCAAGGCGTCCGCTCGGCGGGCTAGGTTGAATGAACATGAGAGTTAAACTGGATGCTTGCTCGGTCAGGGTGTTCGGCCGATCGAATAAAAGAAATATGCGAGCTTTAACAGTTGGCTGTCGGTTTGTCCGCTCTAGAAGGACGAATGGGTCGTGCCCATACCTTTTTACCTCAAGAGAGGTCGGGTCGGGCCATTCCTAGGCTGTTCGACCGGTCGGGATGCTTGGCTAGACTCGAGAATCATCGGCTCCTGTTAGGTCCTAATCTGGCAGTCGCGGGCCGGCTCGGTCGGGGAGGTAGGGCAATTGGAATTGAACGTGCAGACTCCTAGGTGCCATGGATGCTTGCCACGTGTTTGGCAGATATCAAATTCTGGTTTTCGAGGCGGGAAAACGAAAAGTTGCTTACTACCAGCCAATTGCGAGACGCCATGTGTCCTCATCTGACAGATTTCCCTTAAAAAATGACTAGCAGGCCGTTCGTCTCCCATTTGCTTCTTTTTTCTCTGTTTTTCTGCAGAACAACAAATTTTTTTTTTTCTGCGTTTTCAATTTCTTTTCAACGACGACAGTTTCTCACGGTAGACTTTGGCTCCTTTCACAGTAAATATTTCATTTTCGTGATGTTTCTGCGTTTCTTGGTCTATTTTGGTAGATTTTGCTGTGTTTTTGGAAGATAGATTGTAGTTCTTGAGCTTTCGAGTAGTTTCAATGGGTTTTGAGGAGTTCAGAATATAGATTTTTGGAATAGGCATGAATTTTGGTATTTCCGGTGGGTTTCCGGCGTCTTGACTGGTTTTTTGGGCCTTTTTCAAACGTTTTGGACGGTATTTGGGAAAGCAAAGTCGAGTTAGACGTAAGTTCATTCGGTCGGTCTACCTGACCGAACAGGGTGCCGTCTTGGAGTTTTAGGGGGTTAGGTCATCCAGTCCGTCCAACCGAGTGGGGAAAGGTAAGCAGAGTGGAGTGTAGAGTCGGTTGGCCATCCAGATCGAGCGGGTGATTGGGTTGCCTGATCGATAAGAAGGGGCGAGTAATATTAAGTTGACCTTAGGGACCAGTCGATCGCCTAAGGCGAGCAAGTGGATACCTTGATCAGGGATTGGCAGGGTCAGTTGCCCAGGGCGAGCGAGGGAATACCTTGATCAGGGGTTGGCTGGGTCGGTCACCTAGGGCGAGCCAAGGAGGGTTAGAATCTAGAGCCGGGTCGATCAACCGGGAGGGTCGACCAAAGTTTAGGTTAAACTTCTCTGGGTAGGTAGATCGGTACTGAGGGGCGAGTGGCAACTTTTTCTGATCTTGATAGGTCGGTGTCTCGGGTCGGGTGGTTGACACTTGGCAATTTTGGCAACAAGGAGCGAGGCTTGGATCGGTCTGTTGGGTTGGGCGATCAAGCCAACATGTTGGATTCTGAATTGGCTAGTTCAAGCGGGATTGTGGCAGACTCAGGGGATGAGTATGAGCTTGTCTCGACTATAGTGATGATGCCCGAGGGGGGCGTTCCTGTGGGCGTGCTGAGTGGAGTTAGTATAGCCATTCCAGGGTCGAGTGAGGCTGGGCCGAGTGGCTCGGGCAGGCATGGGAGGAGTGGGGAAGACTTCGAAGGAGTTGATAGTCCATCTTCTTCCGGAAGTGGCTCTAAGGAAGAGGCGAGCCAATAGGGCAGCAAGATTTTGACTAGAGATTATCCGCCCGTGCTGAAAGATAGTGATGTGTGGTGCATCCGGACCTTGTATCACATTCCAAGTTCTGTTGATATCTGGATGCCGCGGTCGTACGAGCGGGTTGATTGGGAGGCAAAGGACTGGATCAGTGTTTACGAGAAGTGGTTTCATGACGGGTTGAGGTTGCCTGTGCCTCGCCTCGTCTGGGAGGTGCTGAACCACTTCATGATTGCCCCATCTCAGCTTATGCCGAATGCTTGGAGACTGCTAATGGCCTTGGAAGACCTTTGTGTTTGGAACCAAGAGAGGTTTGGGTTGCACGAGCTGCTGTACTCCTACTTCTTGAAGGAGAACGATAAAGAGAAGGGTCGTTACTTGTTGAACTTGAGGCATGATCGGTCTCACTTGGTGACCGACCTACGGTCCAGTGATAAGAACTGGAAAGATCGATATTTCTACCTGAGGGGTCAAGCTATATTTGGAGAAAGAGGACAGGGCGAGATCCTGATCGGCTGGCGAGCTACTGGTGAGAGCTTAGTTGTTTCTTTCGTACTTTTGATTACTAAATCTTGATTGTGTTTTTTGTTTGCAGAGCTTGAGTTCAATCGGGCTGGACAGAGCGGAGACGGCTTGGACGTAGCGACCCAAAGGGTGTTAGCCATCCCATTAGAGCAGAGGGATTGACGAGTAGTGTTAGTAGATTCCAACCTGAGGACCAGCATTCTTTGGGCCGAAGTAGAGGTGATACAAAGATGTACTCCCTTCCCCTCGCTGAAGCAGACTTGGGATGTGCTTCTGAGTAGATATTGCAACCAGATCATTTTTGTGAGTCCGAGCTGAAACCACTAACCGTTGGAGAGTTTGCACTTGTAGAGTCGTTGATGAAGAAGTTAACTATCCCGAGTGCGAGCAAATCTATCGCCCGACGCCGCGAGAAGAAGAGGAGAGAGTCTTTAGCCAGGGAAGACAGAGGAGAAGATGACGTGCTAGCGATGCCACCGAGTCAGCAGCCTTCAGTTGGAGCCGGGTCGTCCCAGACCACGGTTGTGGATGAAGAGGCCGGCACGATTACCATCACGATTCTAGCTAATGCGTCGACTTACTCTGATGCCACTACCATGAGTAAGTTGGCCGACTCATTTTTATTCCCGACGAACGAGGCGCGGCTTAACCAGATAGGTGCAGTTGCTGTGGCTGATTGGGGGGTAGCTCGCGCCGTTCAGGTATTACAGTAGAGTTTGATGATTTCTGTTTTTGAGCCTTGTTCTGATTGCAATGTTTTGTTGTGCAGGTACTCACTAGCAGTCTTCACCTGAGGAAGTCTGTTGTGGCGCAGGAGAAACGTATACAGGATGTGTCTAAGACCAACACCAGCCTGCGCCAGAAGGAGATGGCGGCCCGGAAGGCCAAGCAAGAGTTTCAGCATCGTCTGAGGGATAGAGAGCATGAGATCGAGAGACTGAGGCGTGAGTTGGCCGAGAGAACCGCAGAGGTCGAGTCTCTCAGGGAGCAGTGCATCTCTATTGCTGATGATGCTATCATTAAGGCCCAAGGTGAGCTCATGCTGGAGTTCAAAGAAGGACGAACCTCTCATTGGGATCCGGATAAAGACATCTTGCTCATGCAGGAGTTACTGGACGAAGGAGGTAGTCATCCGGGGGGGCAGGAAGACAAGCAGATGCCTGACCTCAGCCAGCCGAGGCTATCGGGTGTTGATGATGTGGGTGGCCAAGGTGCTGGGCCGAGCGCTGGCAGTACGGATATGGTGACCGATTCGGCGATGGGGGATAAAGCTCGTGCTCAGGATACTTAGCTTTTATCTTTATTTATATGTTTTGGGGCCTGCGATGCCCTTTTGTCTGGCATGTGTGCCATTTTTTTTGTGTTCTGAACTGGGCCGTTTGATGTTATATATATAACATTTGACCATTTTTGACTTCTGATGCTGTCTCCTTGGATGAATGAACTGTTGTTTCTTTACTTATAGGTGCACTACGTCGTGTATGTTACTTTAGAGTGGCCCAATGGCGAAGGCATGTAGGCCTTTTGTTGGGCTGGGTCAGTGCTTTGCTTGTCACTGGTGTGAAGACCATTCATTCGGTCTGGTCGACCGAGTGTACATTCCCGTGGATGAACGAAGTCAAACTAGAGTTGATTTCTTGGGTCGGATCAGGCCGACTAGGTGGTGTGAATCATAAGTCGTGCTGAATTTCGTAGATCGAGTGGTGGCAATACGAAGGTGCAACTCGCGAATCGGGAAGGGTCGATCCGAGGATGTCATTGTAAATCGATCAAGGTCGATTCGAAGGTGTACGTACATTTATCGGGCAGGGCCGATTTGAAGGTGTCAGTACGTTTATTGGGTAGGACCGATTTGAAGGTGTCAGTATGTTTATCGGGCAGGGCCGATTCGAAGGTGTACGTATGTTTATCAGGCAGGCCGATTTGAAGGTGTCCGTACGTTTATCGGCATGGCCGATTTGAAGGTGTCCGTACTTTATCGGGCAGGCCAATTTGAAGGTATCCGTACGTTTATCGGGCAGGTTGATTTGAAGGTGTCCGTACGTTTATCGGGCAGGCCGATTTGAAGGTGTCCATAATTCATTGATCAGGGTCGGTTTGGAGACGAAAGCTTCTAAATAGTACTTCATTAAATATTTGGCCATGAAGCTGACTGTCTAAGAGGAGGTGGACAAGCCCACTCATCCCTTTAAAAGAAAAACAAAGTTCACCTAGTGGTAGTAGCGTTTGAGGTGAATGGCATTCCAACTGTTGTTGATGTCTTTGCCCTCGGGGGTCTGGAGCTTGTAGGCACCCTTCCCTACTGCTTTGATTATCTTGTAGGGACCTTCCCAAGTGGGACCGAGTTTGCCAGAGTTGATCTCCTTGGTGTTTTGGAAGACCTTGCCGAGGACCCAGTCGCCTATCTTGAAAGTACGGATCCTCATGTTGCGGTTATAATGTCAGGTGGCCTGTTGCTGGTAAACTGTGTTGCAGATGCTCGCCCGTTCCCATAGCTCGTCCATAGTGTCTAGGTTCTGGCAAAGGTTGTGACTGTTTGATTCCTCGTCCGCCCATTGGAGCCTGGTGGACGAAACTGATACTTCAGCTGGAATGACTGCTTCGCAACCGTATGTCAGGGAGAACGGGGTTTCACCAGTTGATGATCGAGCCGTGGTTTGGTATGATCAAAGGACTTTGGGTAGCTCATTTGCCCATGCGCCCTTAGCTTTCTGCAATCATTTCTTTAATGTCTGTATGATGGTCTTGTTTGATAACTCGGCTTGGCCGTTAGACTGGGGGTTGTGGGGTGTTGAAAAGCTCAACTTTATTCCCCACATGTCACAGAAATCCCTGAAGCCTGAACTAATGAACTGGGATCCATTATCGGTTACAATCTCCTTTGGTATTCCGAACCTGCAGATTACATTCTTCCAGATGAAGGCTTTTACCTCTCGGTCTCTGACTTGTGCGAAGGCTTCGGCTTCGATCCACTTGGTGAAGTAGTCTGTCACAGCCAACATGAAGACTCGTTGCCCCGGTGCAGTAGGTAGCTTTCCCACGATGTCCATTCCCCACTTCATGAATGGCCAAGGTGTGAGAATGGAATGGAGTCGTTCTGGTGGGAGGTGTGAGACGTGGGAAAACCTTTGACAGTTGTCGCACTTCTTCGCGTAAGCGGTCGAATCGGTGCGTATGGTCAGCTAGTAGTATCCAACAATGATCACCTGGTGTGCAAGACTGCGCCCCCCGCGTGGTTGCCGCATTCAACTTCATGGAGTTCGGCTAGAACACTTTGGGCTTCTTCTGGGCTTATGCATTTGAGATAAGGGCCCGAGAATGACTTTCTGAGGAGTTAGCCCTCATGTATGGTGAATCTGGCTGCTCTTGCTTTCAGTCGGCGTGCTTCATTCTTGTCAGTCGGGAGCTCATCGTCTTCCAGGTATCTTATTATCGGGGTCATCCAGTAGTCGGCTTGTTCAACGCCCATGGCTTCTACGGGAGACTTGTTCGGTGGTGGTTCCTTCCAGTTGGTTGGCCACTGCATGAATAAGAGGGGAATGGATGACTGGGAAGAACATGGGAGTGCCGAGCCAAGGTTGGCGAGGGCGTCGACATGGTAGTTCTCAGCTCTGGGGATCTGTACGATTGAGAACTCTTCGAATTTAGCCTGCAGCTCTTTGACCATGCTCAAATAGGATGTCATCTTTGAATCGCGTGCTTGATACGTGCCTTGTAGTTAATTGACTACGAGTTGGGAGTCGGACTTCACTTCTAGTCTCTTAGCTCTAATTTCTCTAGCCAAGGAAAGTCCAGCTAGGAGGGCTTCATATTCGGCCTCGTTATTCATGCATTTGAACCCACACCGGATTGCTTGCTGAATGATGTCTCCCTCTGGTGCGATCAGTACTATTTCGAGTCCGCTTCCATTGACATTACTCGATCCGTCTACTAGGAGAGTCCACTTTGAGGGTGGTGCGCTGTTCATGCATAGTAATTCTCTTTCAGCCTTGGTGGTGGCGCTTGGTGTGAAGTCGGCCATGAAGTCTGCCAGTGCCTGGGACTTGACGGCGGTACGGGATTGGTAGGCTATATCGAACTCACTAAGCTTTACTGTCCATTGCATGAGTCGGCCTGATAGTTCTGGTTTGTGCAGTATCTTCTTGAGTAGGAAGGAGGTGATTACAATAATGGGATGGCACTGAAAGTATGGCCTGAGCTTCCTGGATGCATGGACGAGGGCGAGGGCGAGGGCGATTTCTCCAGTTGACTGTACCGGGTTTTTGCGTCGAGGAGCGACTTACTTACATAGTAAACCGGTAATTGCTTTGATTCTTCTTCTCGAACTAGCACTGTCGAGATGGCTGTCTCTGAGACCGTTAGGTAAGAGTAGAGCTTCTCCCCGTCCACAGGTTTGGAAAGAAGTAGGGGTGTGGTCAGATACCTCTTCAGCTGTTGTAAGGCTTCTTCGTAGGAAGGGTTCCAATCGAACTTCTTGGACTTCTTAAGGGCATGGAAGAATAGGTGGCATTTATCAGCTGATCTGGAGATGAAGCGGCTCAGGGCGGCCACTCGTCCTGCAAGGTGCTGGACATCTCTGATGCAAGTCAGGGATGGTATGTTGAGGACCGCTCTGATCTGGTCGGGGTTTGCTTCTATCCCTCGCTGAGTAACCATATAGCCCAAGAATTTACCTGATGAGACGCCGAATGAGCACTTGTCTGGGTTTAACTTCATGTTGTACTTCCAGAGGATGGCGAATGCCTGGCTAAGGTGGTCGAGGTGTTGTTTGGCAATCAGGGACTTGATGAGCATGTCATCGATGTACACCTCCATGGTCTTCCCTAAGTGATCAGAGAACATTTTGTTGACTAGACGTTGGTAGGTGGCCCCGGCGTTCTTTAGTCCAAACGGCATTACTTTGTAATAGTAGGTTCCCCTTTCTGTGATGAAGGTTGTCTTCTCTTGGTCGTCCAAATGCATCAGAATCTGGTTATATCCCGAGAAGGCGTCCATGAAACTGAGGAGTTCGTGCCCTGCGGTCGCATCTACTATCATGTCGATATGTGGGAGTGGGAAAGAATCCTTGGGGCAGGCTTTGTTCAAGTCAGTGAAGTCGATACAGACTCTCCACTTCCCATTCTTTTTCTTTACGACCACGACGTTTGCTAGCCATTTGGGGTAATGGACCTCTTTGATCATGCCGTTGCTTAGGAGCTTTTCAATCTCTTCATTGACGATCCAGTTTCGCTCAGGTGCGAATTTGCTCCTCCTCTGCTTGACTGGTGGGTGATCCGGATCTGCCTTGAGCTGGTGGACCATTGCGTCTGGATTGATTCCGGTCATGTCGGCGTGGGACCAGGCGAAGCAATCTTCGTTCTATTTAAGAAATTCTATCAGCTTCTCTCTTGTCTCGGGCTCGAGGCGAGAGCCTATATATGTCTTTCTCTCTGGGTCGTCCGGATGTATCTGCACTTCATCCAACTCCTCAATTGTCGGTTGGTTAGGCTCGATTCGAGGGGTTGGATGAGACTGTAATTGCTATGAAGAGTTTCCTTTGCCTTTGAAGGCGTTCTTGTAGCAGCCCTTAGAAGCTTTGGGGTCGCCCTTGATCTCCCGTACTCCCCACTTGGTTGGAAACCTGATTGTCTGGTGGAAGGTAGATGGGACTGCTTGTATGTCATGGATCCAGGGGCGGCCCAAAATGACGTTGTAGGGAGATGGGCAGTCGATCACCAAGAAGACGGTCTGTTTGTTTATTCCATCGGCGTAGATGGGAAGGATGATCTCTTCGACAGACTATTTCTGCTCCGAGCTGAACCCAACCAGCAGTGTCGGTCGCCTGTTGATGTTTGCTTCTTCTAGTCCTATTGCCTTGACTGCTTCGAGGAACATGATGTTTGCTGACGAACCTCCATCTACGAACACCCTTTTCACTAGGATGTTGGCAATTTGCAGGGAAACGACTAAAGCATCGTGATGAGGAGCGGCCAGGGTGATCGGTTCGTCATCTTCAAACTGAATTACCTGATGAGAGTGTGATCGCGAGACTGGATGGATGGACTGTACTTCATGGTGGTGGCTGGCTTTAGCATATCGCTTGGCTGATGAGTAACTTACTCCACTGATCTCTGATCCTCCAGAGATGAGAGAACAGAAACCTTTCGGTATGGGTTCCTGAGGAGGGGGTGACGGTTCTTTGGAGCTTTTCTGGCTAATGGTGTTCTTCCCCTTGTCAGTAAGCAGATCACGGAGATGTCCCCTTTTCAGAAGTGCGGCAATCTCGAGCCGCAAGGCAATACAGTCTCCGGTGTTGTGCCCATGGTCACTGTGGAACTCGCACCACTTGGTTGTGTCTCTCCTTGCCTCGGGATTGAGCTTGCCAGGCCACCTGACGGTGGATCCCAGTCCTTTCATTATTACTACGACCTAGGTTGGCTCGACATTGAGGTTGTACTCTGGTATCTTGTGTTGGTTCGATCCGAACTGCCTGTTATCATTTCTCGCGGGTTGGCGATCATAAGGCTTCCTGACTCTGCCCATATTGCGTGCTGGAGGTTGGTAGCGGTGCTCTACCGGTCTAGACTCTGGCTTCTTGTCGCTCCACCTTGATTCGTATCTAGAGTGGGCAGCTCAGTTTATCTCATCTTGCTCCCATCTTATCTGGATAACCGCCTGGGCCAGAGCATCTTCCATTGTGGTGCAACCCAGCTTCGTAAGTTCTTTGTACAGTTCTCTATCTAGGAGGAGGCATTTCTTGAAAGCGTCCACATCAGTCTCAGGGTTACATGAGGGGATAAAGATCTTTTCTCTATTGAATCTGCTAACATATTCTCTCAATGGCTCTCCCCTTCTCTGGTATATTCGGTATAGGTCGGCCGATAGTTGCTCTAGTTTCTTGCTGTTGGCGAATTGCTCTACGAAGGTGTCAGTAAGCTGGGTGAATAAGTCGATGGATCCGTTCGGGAGGTTCGTGTACCATTGGAGTGTCGGTCCAGATAGACTAGAACCGAAACTCTTACACATGCAGGCTTCCCTAAGCGGTCGGGGTATTGAGACTGTAAACATCCGCTGCTTGTACGAGGCTATGTGGTCATCCGGGTGGGTGGTACCATCGTACGGTTTCATGTTGGGGATGGTGAATTTCTGGGGCATGTCGGCCAGGGCGATCTCATCCACAAAAGGTGAATCAGCGTAACTGTGGGGTCTGCTCTTCTTGGTTGGGACCGGCATACCTGGAATGCGTCTCATCACTGCCTCGACATTGGCTAGTCTTTTGGCCAGTACTTGTTCCATAGGGGAGGGGGATACTACCGGGTCATTCTGTCTTACTGGGTTTGCTGCTGCATTCGTTCTCAGCACATCCCGTTGGGTCATCCCTTGGGGGGTAGTCTGATAGATCGTTCTGTCGTGCATTCCTTGGTAGCATGGATCTTCGTTCATCCCTTCCGGTTGGATGACTCTCATTGTCACTGTTCTGTTGTTCCGCCCTACATGAATGGTCAGTGGAGTTGACTGGTAGTCGCTCGGTCAGTCAGGGTGGATGAGCTCGAGTGCTGGAGTTGGTTTGGTTAGGCCATTCAACCCGCGAGGGTGAGTCGAGCCGAGTGGGGTTTGTGTTTGGGTTGTGGACTGGAGGTGGAGCGGGATGGGGAGAGTGGGCTGGTCTTGTGGATGTGGGCTTTCCGTTATTGGATTATCATGGTTACGAGGCTGGGATGAGTCGGCTGGATGGTGTTCTGCTGGCATATCTTTGTCTCCATTAGTCAAAACGGAGTCGTCCAATGCCAGTGCGCTTAACGGACGCGGCTCTTTACCAAAGATCGAGGGCTAATGCTTTGGTGTGGAGAGTGGTTGCATGGATGGGATAGGGGCGCGGAACCGATTGGGAGGTACTTGGTTGGGCAAGAACTCGAGATCATAGAATTGACCCACCTTCTCTTTTAGAGGCTGGTTTTCAGCCCTAATGGAAGCGTTTTCGGTCCGGATTGCATTGTTCTCGGCTTCCAGTGCGGCCACCTTGTCTGAATTTTGTTGCATGAGAGAGGTCAAGACCTCCAGTCTGGCCTCGAGGCCGGGGTTAACGTTGTCGGGATTGTCATCCATGGAATGTTCCTCCATGTAGCAAGGTTCATCGAGCCGAATGATTGCTAGAGGCCCCACAGTGGGTGCCAAACTGTAGACATAAAAATCTACCTGTACGGAATGGGGGTCTGATCCCGCGAGGTTGAGGCCACTAGCGATCTGCTGCACCTGCACACGTAGGAAACACACGCGTGAAGCGAACGGGAAACACCAGGGTGGTGTTTGCCGTAGGCACTCTGACGCTCAAGTCAACAAGGCTGAAAGGCTAATATAGTGAGGGCTAGGGAGTAAAAGGTTACCGGATGTCTAGTCGGGGACTGTGACTACGGCAGTGATGTGAAGCTCTCAAGTCGGAGCTTTCAATGTGAAGGTGTAATGTCGTCTCCCCTGAGAGGGTTGGCCTCTCTACTTATATAGTGACTGTCTGGTCTCCCAATCCTGGTAGAAGTAGGAGTCCTAGTATGACTCTGATGCAAACCCTAGAAGAACTAGGGCCGTGGTAAGCTGTCTTACCAGTGTCCGAATAGGAAGATGATTCTAATTAGGAGAGTAACTTCGAGTAGGAAAGTGATCAGGAATAGAAAGGTATTCTGAGGGGGCCGTGGGCTCTGGATTCGCCCATGGACCTAAGAAATGGACTGGGATTAGGAGGCTCGTGCCCACGTGGTTTGGACCGGCTATATCTTGTACCGCATGGGCCTAATCTGGTTTGGTCATATTGGGATTGGGCCTGACTTCTTCTTCAGTGTCGGGCCTGTTTTTCTATTTAGGCCAAGGACGATTTTTGGCCCTAACAATTATCATCTAAGAATAACGGCAAGTCAACTCAAGTGGATTGTTTGATGCTCAAACTTGAACGAGTTGAATCAATCAAATAATGCGCCAGGAAAGATGCCTGCAAGATCACCCCTTATCAGGGGTAGACCCAAAAGGTTAAAGTTTCAAAAAGTTCAGAGAATAAAGGGGTCATAAAACGCCGAGTGTTGACTGACTCGTTAACTTTGTCATTTAAAGTAAGTCAAGGTCAAGCCACTAAATATGAGAGTGACGAATTACATTTTCGTACCTTAAGTTTGGTGCAGGAATATTGATTATGTATTGACTCCTAAGTCAACAATTAATATATTATACTATAATTTTTTTAAAGTGATGGACATTAACAATTAAGATCACATTTTTCTTTGTAATTAAATCTCCTCTTATCGCACTCTCTTATTTTCCACTTCTTGTCCCTTAATTAATAACTTTATATAAATGTTTCTACAAGATTATTTTTATCACCTAATCAATTAACTATATTTAAAGGTTATCTTTTTCACTTTCTACCAAATTTTTTTACAAAAAGGAAGCTTATTGTGCTTTAAAATGACCAACCCACACTTATCCTAGTAAAATGAGATTATGTTAGATCCTCATTTGCTCTTTTAATATCAGGCCACCTAGTGGTGGTTAAATATTCTAAGTTGGTTTCATCTTGTTTCACAAAAGTCCAAAAATACTTTAACAAAAGCCGGAAAAAAAAAAAAAAAAAAAAAACCATCATATTGCCAATTACTTGATATTAAAGGCCAATAAGATGATCCAATTACTTAATTTAGTTATAACTAGAGGCACATAGTTAATGAATTTGGCTAAAGTTCAATCATGTTGAATAAATAGTACTGATTTTATTTTTAAGAGTAATTCTACAAATATAAATTTTGTATATAAACTCAATTTGTATTGATTTATTTTACATTAAATCTTGTATTATTCTAGTTTTAAAGCTGAAACTTATGATATGCATAAATGAAATTAATTTATAAGTAATAATTTATTGACTAATGTCAACAAAGATAATACTAAAAAATGTGTGACACTTGCACATATGGTAGGATTAATTAATTAATTGGACAAAGGAGTACCCACACACCTGATAATTCAAGAAAGTATGTGACAAAGTTGACGTGAATGAAATAACAGTAACAAAGTTGATGTGAATGGAATAACTCTTAACAACTAATTGCTATAAATAAATTGTGTAATTATGTGACATAGGCCCGATTCTTCATTAATTTTTGTTGTATATGCATTGACTTAAAGTCAGATTAATTAATTCTATTATTCTACTTTTGACACCTAATTGATTGAGTTTGTGAAAAGGAATTAATATATTTGATTAAATACCAACAATAGGCCTTCAAATATAAACTTTGTTAAAAGTTATACAAAGGAATGAAATTGTCTAATGCATACATCTTTATTTTTTAATTTTTTAATTCTGATCATGATTCTCACTTGAAGAATCTACCAAAAAAAAAAATTACAGCCAAAACTCTAACCTAAAATTCTAAAGAATAAATAAATTGTCTTTTAGGGGATTCTTCACATTAGGAATCGTAATTGAGTACATATTCGAAAAAAATTCCTTCTAAATTTCATAATTAATTGCTTTGGTCTTGAGCATTTCCTCTGCTAATCAATAACATAATTTCTTCATCCTAGCCTTGTTAGCATGAAGAAAAACACAAAGCATTGAGAGAAAGTATTATATAATTGAAAGAAATTTATTTTGCAAGGAAGACACACTGAAAGAAAGGAAATATAAATATTGACCTGAGGAAGCTCACCAAGCAAATGTGAAAACTAGACGTTAAGCACTTGAGCCTCAATGAAGTTTCAGTAGTTATTGACCAATAGAATTTGGTCCTTCAGTATTTTCTCTGCTGATTGGTAAAGGAGCTTTAAATTCTTGGAATAGCTAGCATGAGTAGCAAATGATTTATAGATATATATTAAAAGAAGCATAACAGTCAAACAGTTCTATGATATACAAACTCTTTGATTAGAACTTAAACAAATGAAGAAACAAAATAGATCAGTGACAAGCATGTTAGAGTTGTCGACCACTTCAACATTAATGGGTCACGCAACTGGAGAGTTTTGAAAAACTTGTCTTAGAAGGCCAAAGCGTGTTGACTGACTTGTTAACTCGTCAATTAAAGTAAGTCAAGCCACTCAATATGAAAGTGCCGAATTACGTTTTCGTACCTTACTTTTTTTGCAGAAATTTGATAACCCTTGTTTTACAAACCACCTACCTATTCTCAACTTCTAGCGGTTAAAGGATGTTTATATCTTTTTCCATCGCATACATAACCTTCTTCAACCCTAAACTTGAGAAAACTGTAATCTTTCTCAAATTCCTCTTGAACATAAGAAATTAAAATTATTTCAATATAAAGAAAACTGTATAAGATAAAATAAAATTTAACAAATGATGGGTAAGGTTATCTTTCATTTTGTGCTGTTAAATTATTCCTATCACTCTTTTCGGATTGATCCAATGGCCTCCATCACTTTTTCGTAGGTTCCAATAGTGGATACCATGGAAACTGTCACCCTGTTTCGTAGAAATTCCCTCATTTCTCAGCATAATATTCTTCAAGATTTCTGCACATGTTGAACCCCCACCTTTTGCTGACTTGTTAATTAGTTCACTCATCACATGCATGTCACAAAAAAGGACTGAGTTTCTTGTTTTGTCCAACTTTGAGAGGATGATTCCAAGGCAATGGAGAAAGTCCCTTTGATCCAATAGGTTTGGAAAGTGACACTACAATCCCGGCCGGTTAAATGATTATCATTAGAGGATTTTGATCATATTTAATAAAAGTTTTATATTATGGCAGTGGCAGCGGACTGCAATATCACTTTCTAAATCTATATTAAAATTAAATTCTCGTGCAAGAAATTACCTCTGGTTCAGTAAGAGGTTACCCTTAAGTTTAGTGAAGTAAGAAGACCCATAGATTTGATAATGAAGTACTTACACTTGTTATAGTTTCATAATGGAACACTTACACCTTTGTAATTGATAAACACTTTGTGTAAAGTTAATTCAAATACAAAATCTTAGTACAATGAGTAATACACCTTTATTTTATCTTTTCTCCTGTAACACAAAGAACCTAATATCTTACATTTATCATATGATCAAATTATTCAATATATAAAATAATTTAAAAAATATTAAACTTTGACAATTCGATAAGGTATTTGAAAAATAAAAAAACTTATTATTATTATTTTTTTAATTGAGTCATATATTTTACTCTTATGATGGTCACTTTGCACAAACATCATTCAATTACAATGGTGTAAATTTTCTATTATGAAACTATCAGGGTGTAAGGTTTAATTCTAAAACTTGTGGATCTCTTTGTATCTGTCACTAAAGCTCGGGTTGTCCATGTCAAAAACCTCGCTTTAATCAATCTGGGAGACCCACAAAGGCACAAAGCAGTATGAAAGATAGGAACATCAATCAATACTGGCAGTGCGTGTCTTTCTTGATTAGTGTCAGATGCTTTCTCAGATGTTTCCTTCAATCTCATAAGTTAGAATTTCAGAGATATAATTATTGGAGAGAAGAACGAGAGTAATCACAAGTGTTTCATCTTTCGACAGTGATAATTGCCATCTCTTATTAATACTGTGTATGTTGGGAAAATACCAAATGCTTGATAGGCAGGTTTTGTTTTTGGCTCTAAAGCTGTGGCTGGTCTCAGTTTCAGTGGTCTGCAACTCAAAGCTAGGTGAGGCGTATGATGAACAAGCTGCAAGGAAGCTATCCGATGACGTCTCTGCTGGTGATTTAACAACTTACATTTTATATTTGAAGTTAAAAAAATTGGTTATTATGCTCATCTTTATTTCATAGTTTGATGAAATTAAAAGGGTTCCTAGCTAGCTATAGAAGCTTGTAAAACCTCCTCTTTTAAGGTTTTAAAGTTTGATTCCTTATGATATTACGCCTTGACTTTCATCTTAATGAAACAAAACTACTTCTTGACTGATTTTACATCAGAAAAAGAAGTGTTTTCAATGATACCAACATAGAGATCAGTTCAGTCAAACATATATAATTACTGTGTGGTTATCTTTTAAGATTTTTAAACATATGTTTGGCTTAATAGTTGATAAACCGAATATACATGACAAATCATTCAGATCTTTGATATTAGTGTATTTTTTTGAGTCATTTAGATGATAAACAAATTCCAATCATATATCAGTAGATTGGGATGTGTAATATCAACCGATTAAGGAAATTGACTTAAAGAGTAAATGCTAGAAAAAGGGTGAGAGTTTAGATAAAGAGAAATTAGGAGTTAGCTACGTATAAAGCTTGTATTTGTCAATTATATGTGAGAAGAAATTTTCTTATTTGACTATTACATGTTCTATTAAAATAGTTGTCTTATCCGGTCTAGTTAAAAAAGATGGTATGTTGAGATCTGAAATTGAATTAATTTCATATTAGCTGGTATAAGTGTCTATGTCTCACTCAATTTTCTTTCTGTCAAATGTGATATCCAGGTTTCATAAGCATTGACTGCCGGGCTAGTGGAGATTACAAAGACGATGAAACTGGGCTAGTTTATGAGTCAGATATGAAATATATCGACACAGGAGAAATTCACCAGCTATCTTCTAACCTCGCCGAAGGGCTTTATAAACAGCAAATGAAGAATTTGAGGAGCTTTCCTCAAGGAACAAGGAATTGTTACACCCTGAATCCCAAACAAGGTGCAAACAATAATTATCTCATCAGAGCATCCTTTATGTATGGGAACTATGACAACAAGAACCAGTTCCCAATATTTGACCTGTACCTAGGTGTTAATAGATGGGTGACTCACAATGCTTCAACTGCTTCAAGTTACTATTATGAAATTATTCATGTTCCCACGGTGGATTACATAGATGTGTGTCTGGTAAACACTGGCAACGGAATACCCTTTATTTCTGTCTTGGAGTTACGGACGTTGGCGGACACCAATACATATCAAATGGGAAAAAACGAGGCAAAGAGAACCGTTAGGAGATATGACGTTGGTGGCCAACATAATCAACAGGGTACTGGCAGTATCAGGTAACTGAGATCTGTGCCAACCGAAAAGGGGTTCTTAACAAAATACTTATCGACATTGTTATATTTATCAAAAGAATCTTTTCTGGATAAAAGTTTTGGGTCCAAGCGTACTATACTGGATTTCATAAATTTTCTAGCCGCAACTATATTTCAATTATCGGTGACCTTTTTCATATCATAGATTCATTTTTATGACCTCTAATATTTATTCTTTGTGTACGAACTAGTATTATTTGAGCCAACTGTTCCACTAATTATGGAATGTATTGTCTCATTATGCACTTTTATACATCTCATATATATTTAGGTACCCTGGTGATTCCTATGATCGCATTTGGTTTGATCTCAACTTCGATGACTGGAATCCCATTTCCACAGACTCAACCATATACTCTCCAAACATCGATGATGGTAATTATAAAGTACCAGATGAAGTACTGAAGACTGCTGCAACATCCCAGGATGCTATGAGTCCTTTGAGTTTGTTTTTCAACCCTCAGATTCTACTTCTCAATGCTATGTTTACTTCCACTTTACAGAAATCAGGAAACTTAACCAGAAGAGGGTGTTGCTGATTAATCTGAATGGAAGAAATCTTACAGAAGTAACACTTGAATACCTAAAACCAATAACAATAACCCCAAATGATCATACAATAATGGTACCCGACTTAGCTTTTCTATCTATACAGTAGAAGGTTCTGATTCTAATTACTTTCCTCCAATTCCTCCAATGCTTAATGCTTTCGAAGCTTTTGTGTCTTTAGAGCTCCCACTTTCACCGACATACCCTAATGATGGTATTTTTCTACTTTTTTTTGTTGTTTCTAGAGTTAGAAATAGCTGTATTTACATCTATCTGGTATTGCATAAGCCTTCCTCAAATTTATGACACATAGTCCTCGTTATAAATTAGATGCATGAACCATGTCAGCCTGCTAATTACTCAAATCATGATAGCAATAAGTTTTTTCTAATTTAAATTCATCGATAATTAACTGACTTTTATACGTCCAATAAGAATGAACTGACTCCTTTCTTGTCTCCGGAAACAACAGTTAACGCTATCAGAGATATAAAGACAACTTACAAAGTGATTAGAAACTGGCAAGGCGATCCATGTCTCCCTAGTAGTTTCTCATGGAATGGTCTGAGTTGCAACAATGACACAAATCCAAGGATCATATCACTGTGAGTTCCCTTCTAAATTAAGCAGCCTGAGGTTCTTTTATAAAATCCACCGGAAACTTGAACAGGCACTAAATGTCTTTCAGGCTATTTAGAAGAGAAAGTCCTTCCTAAAGGAATGGAATATGTATAAACAAAATATCAGATTATGATGTTTGACTGGATTAATTCTCAGTTGTATGGAATTGAGGAACATATTCGGAACTAATTGAATATGTTCCTCAATTCCATACAATTGAAAATTACATCAGTCATGCTTCATAATCTATTTGGATTCAGATTAACCTGTTATTGGTTTGAATTGCTCATATTCTTTTCTTTTCTTTTGTGAATTAGGAGATAATGGTAATTAGGTTTTTGTTCTATAAATTTGAAACAGGAATTTGAGCTCAAGCAATTTGAGTGAGATAGCTCATTCATTCTCGAATCTTGAAGCAATAGAAGTTTTGTGAGTATAAAACTATGTTATATGATTTGATACCATTTATAGCTATAGAAAAATAACCTTTTACCTGTTGCAAATATAAACTTGTACATGTTCTCTTCACATGATTACCTTATCACTAGATTTTCTTGGTTTCATCTTTTCCACTCACATCATTTTATTTTGATGAGGTTATTAACACATCATTTACAATCTTTTATATGCTGTGTTAATTGTCTCTAACTCTTACCTTTTGGTTATCTTGCACAAGTGGATCAGAAACAACATTTGTCTCCTAAGGATTACAGATTGCCAACTAGAGTGTTCACTAATGAAGCGTTTAACTGCTTTAATCCGGAGTCTAATTGGGATTTTATATGTACATTAAAAGGAACCACTATATATATTATATGGGTTATACCATTACAGGTCCTATAATAAGTTTCCATCTCCTTTTGTTTACAGGGATTTATCGTATAATAACTTGAACGGGTCAATACCAGAATTTTTAGCACGACTGCCCAATCTAAAAGTCCTGTAAGTAGTTAACTTTCAAGTTTATATTACAATTATAAGTTTTAAGATTTGAAGTGCTGATGATCTGTTTTTGAATTCTAGGAACTTAACTGGAAACAGGTTCACTTCAGTTCCTGGTGCTCTTTTGGAAAAGGTCAAAGATAAAACCTTGCTGTTGAGGTATTCTACTCATCTTAATGCCGATGCTTCAGTTTGTCTGCATGGTTATAGAAAATTACTGGCAAGAATTCTGTTCCTCAGCTTTTTGTATCTTATTTGCTACTTTTCTTTCTGCATACATTATCATGTAAATTTACCCTGCTCAAGTCTGGAAGGACTGGAAGGAGATACAGATAAGCCAGCTCCAACCCATGGAAAGCGAAAAATGCTCATTATTGCTGTTTCTATTGTTGTCACTATTGTTGTGGTGCTCAGTATGTACTTCGCATTTTGCAGAGGGAAAAGAAAAGGTAATACTTTCTTTTTTTTTCTTCCCTCATTGTAAATTTATAGTCCTATCATAATTAGTTTAATGAATTTCAAAGTAGATCAAAACTCACCGGAAACTTTGCAACTTAATTTATGATTTCAAAATTTTACCATACTTTCACAAACTGAATCAATTCGATTAGAAAGTCATTATGCTGATAGTGGGTGACAAATCTGAATTGTGAAAGACAAACAAGATATTAATATATAGTCTTTAATTAAATGAGTAATTTTATAACACTTTAGGGGGCGTTTGGATCATATAATGTTTTATTATAGAGATATATTATATTAACAGAAAGAAAGATCACCTTGAAGATTACTGAGAATGTTTAAAAAATATGCTTGGTTGGTTCGAATAAATTAAAGAATAATATGTTTGGTTGGGAGGATAAATGAGTGGGTATGTTATATAGATTACTAAATTGTCCCCCTTTTTAAATATTAATATAATAGTATTTATTTATTATTATTATTATTATTTTAATCATTTCTTTTAACCCCCATACATTTGAAATTTTGCTAAAATACTCCAGCTATATAAAACTTTAATTTGTAGTAAAATCATCCCCTCCCACCCCAAGCCACTGCTGGCAGCCAACCACCACCGTCGGCAGTCGACAGAATGGCGCATGACTAGCTGTATATGGCCGGTCGTACGCCGGCAAAGTCAGAAATGGCCATGGATCACAAATCCATGGCCAAAAATGGCCAAATCTATGGCCATTTCATGGCCAAAGATGTGGCCGTGAAACGGCCACAGATCTAGCCATGAAAAGGCGAGATTTGTGGCCGTGAAATGTCACAACCACATCTTCATGGCCATAAAAACACCAGATCTGGCCGTTTCTAGTTATGAATCACAGATCCATGGGCGGAAAAGGCCTTACCGGCGCATGACTGGCTAGATCTCGCTGGTTGTACACCATTATAGTGACTGACGCCAGCAGCTAGTGATGGTAAGCCACGGCCGGCGTTAGTCGTCTTGGGTGGCTGGGGGTATTTTGTTAACTTTTAAACTTTTTTGTGGTTGTGGTGTTTTAGCTAATTTCTATGTAGGGGCCTGGGTAATTCTTATTTGGTAGACGTTTGAGGGCAATTGTGTCCAAAATGTGTTTTTAATTAAGGGCAAAATGGGTAGAAAAATCAGATTACCCCGGTAATATTTTAATAACACTCCCTAATAAGATAATAAGATTACCCCCACATTGCTAATAGTAAACAATATTTGCAATAAAAGATTACAGTAATATTTTATTATTTGCAAACCAAACACATGAATCTTACAAAATAAATAAAGATTAATCCCATTATCTTTTATACCCCCGATCCAAACAGCCCTTAAGGGTCAAAAATGTTAGACTTAACTAAAAAAGGGTACACAATTAAAACTTGGAATTGATATTGTGGAACAGAAACAAGAGAATACTATAAGTGAAGAATGGAACTACTCTTGGAATCCATTTAACATTATGATTTTTTTTCTGGCAAATATTGTTGAAGAAAACTGACCATATTTATTCATTTGGTGACAGTAAATAGATACCAGAAGAATGTGTCAATGAAATCTCAGGACGAAGCATACACTTACTCTGAGATTCTTACCATTACCAACAATTTAACAACTGTCATCGGAGAAGGAGGGTTTGGAAAAGTTTACCTCGGCAATGTGGGATGTAACACTAAAGTAGCTGTTAAGGTGCTTTCTGGTACATCAAAACAAGGCTATAAGGAGTTTCGAGCAGAGGTAAGATACATCAATGCAGCCAGCCAGAATTTACATCACTTGAATTTATGTTCGATGTTGAAACTATAAATAGTTTGGTAAGGCAGACTGACAGTTCAAATTTGATTGCAGGCAGAACAGTTAAGGACGGTCCACAACAAGCACTTGGTTCATCTCATCGGGTACTGTGATGAGGATGAACATAAGGCACTGATATATGAATTCATGAAAAATGGAAACTTGAGACATCATTTAAGAGGTATGCAAGATATTGAGAATCATCCAGGATTTCCTGGTTCGTGTTTTTCTGCTCTCTAACTCTCAACTCCCAAGTTCATTTGCGTCAACAAGCCTGACTAAAAAGACAAGATGTTATGTTTTGATATCAGGGAAACCAGATGCAAATTTGCTGAGGTGGAAAGACAGAATTAATATTGCCATAGATTCAGCCAAGGGTTTGCACTCATATCTAAATACATAATTGTTTTTCTTTATTTTCTTCCGTTGTTCTTTCACATCTTTACGGTAAATTGTCTTACTGGAGTTGCAGGATTAGAGTATCTGCACAATGTTTGCAGGCCACCTATAGTCCACAGAGATTTGAAGACTACCAACATCTTACTTGACGACAAGATGCAAGCTAAACTAGCTGATTTTGGGCTCTCTAGGGTCGTCCCAGAAAGTGGCCCTAATTCAACTGTCCCTGCTGGAACACTTGGATACATAGATCCCAAGTAAGTATTAAAACATGATGAATTTATGTACAGTTATGTTATTGAGAATATGTTTTATGAAATTGTACTGATATTAGATTAACAAATCCTAATTCAAATGTTGTCAAAGTTAAGAATGAGAAGTGCTGCAATCTAATCGTTTGGGCGGATGTCTTTGAACTAATGATCTAAATTTTCCGTACAGACTGCGGGATTCTAGTATCTTAACCAGGAAAATGGACATTTATAGCTTCGGGATAATTCTGTTTGAGCTGATCACCGGGAAGCCTGCAATAATTAAAAAAGACCAAGAAAGTGGCGTATACCATATTCTTCATTGGGTTGACCCTGAAATTAAAAGTGGGGATATTAAAAATATTGTTGATCCCAGGTTTGAAGGAGAATTCAATGCCAATGCTGTTCGGAAAATGGCAAATATTGCAAGTTTATGTGCACAACCAGATGTAAATGGAAGACCAGACATAAGTGATATACTGGTAGGATTAAGGGAATGTTTGGCTATAGAGATGGATCCTGGAACAACCTGCAAGACAGAAGGTTTGGCTATAGAGATGAATCCTGGAACAACCTGCATGACAGACAGCTTCATGTCAGCTTCATCCAATCTGCCGGAAGAGCCTTCTTCCGGTCACGGTTTAGAGTTGGCTGTCATTCCTTGGTAAGTACTGAACTCTCACCAACAAATTTACCAAAAAGAAAATTATACCTACTATTCTCCTCTCACAAGATTCATAGCCATATTTATTGAGTCGGCACTCACATATTTTCTCCACCATTTTGCAGAGTAAGCTTTTTGATATAAGAGATATGGGCTCCTGATAATCGATGGAGTAGTTTGAGGATTTCCGGACTCTGTCCTTTCATACAAGACCTGTTTCATTATATCTTTTATTGTATATTGGAGTTGAGGATTGAGTTTGAGGTGTGATTAATTTCGGTAATTGACCATATCTTGTTAAGCATATTTTGATTGGTTGGTTTTGAACTTATTGTTCTGTGTCATGAACTACTACAATTTGGCATGACGACCCTCTGAAAGTTTCTCTAAGGATTGAAACTCCCAATAGGGTTAGCCTCGGGAATAAAGATCCCAATTGACTAGTTGTATTAGGTTTCTCTTATAAAGATATTATTCTCTCGTATGAATGTGATGACAAATCATAGTATATAAGAGAGATGAGAAAATATTTCAATAATTTTGACTCTGCTGAACGTAATCCGAATTTGGGTGAATTGGGATAAATCCCGCATGTTTTTTTTTCTTTACTAATTCGATATTTGTGTGTGGTTATTTGTTTCTTGATATCCAACTTTATTAAATGTATAATACGTCACTTAGTTTCGGCAACTAACAATTTTTTGGCCGAATAGGTTGTGAAGGTCATAAATAAGCAACTTATTAGCCTTTTAGACATGCACTTTTCAATGCCCCTTATTAATGGAAAGTCGAAAGTGGACATGTTCTGTTCATTAATAAAATAAAATTATAATTAATTCTTATACAAAAAATAGTAATTATTTGTTGAATTTTTACACCCACAAAAAAAAAAAAAAAAAAAATTGATGTTATTAATTTAATATTTATACAAACATTAATAATTATAATATTTTTTCATCATAAAATACTTCACTCTAAATTCACTTAAATTTCCATATGTTGAGTATTATTTCAATTACTTTATCAACGAGTTCATCCTAAAATAAAACTAATTTCCTATATATATGCTTTAGAATAAGAAAGAAAATAACTATAAACACAAAAAATAATAATAATAATAATAATAATTGATGATGATACAATTCAAAGTAATTAATCAAAATAAATAAACAAATAAAGGAAGAAACTGTAAAGCGATAGATTTATAGAAAGTAGAATCCATTTGAAGCTTTGATCTTATGTGAAAATATTTTCTTTTTGAAGTATATCTCTATTTACGTAATACATTATCTCAGTAACAGTTAATTATAATTTCATAGATATTATTCAAAAAAAAAACTAAATTAAAATTCCGCAAGTCAAATAACAATTAATGGTACAATGTTTAATGATGCTCGTACAAAAAGAAAAATATTTAGAACAATTAATTCACTTTATATTTTGATAAAAGTTTAATTTAAGAAGATATAACACAATTTATTAATTATATAAACAATAGTATTGTATCTTCCTAAATGGGCCCTCAATAAATTTGAGAATTCTTTGCCACCCCCTAGGTTTCGTGAAATGACACTGAGTCGACATGTGGACTATCATTTCACTAAACCTTGGGAATCAATGTAAACTAAGGGTGAGCGGTTACCAAGTACTTGCCCAAATTCAAAGGAACCAAAACTGGCTGGTTCCTTGGATTTGGAACTGGAACCAACCAATTCTTGTTCCTGTCCGGTTCCTGGCTTCTAGGAGAAACTTGAAACATAGGTTTCAGTTCCAAGTAGCTGGGATAATTTAATTGCCCCTTACTTTTTAAAAAATTACAAATAAACCCTCTAAAATTAATACACCCCCAATAGTTTATAAAAATTACATTTCAGTCCTGATTCCTACCCGGGTACGCAAATCTCAGTTCTGGTTTCCTATTCTTAGCTGATTTTTGGCTGATTCTGACAGCTAATATTCAATTGATCACCACCATTCGATTCACTAGCCTCCACTCAACAAAAACCTTATTACCTTGACTCTTGATAACTTGCTGAACGTTGGCTGAGAAAGTGAAGTATATTTTGGATATTAACAGAATATAAACATCGGGTGAGAAAGCGGTATGTCGAAACTTTTTGGGTGGAAAAGTGTCATTAAGACAAACCTTAGGCGGGAAAAAGTTGTTTACTCCTAAATATTTCCTCAAAGCAACACATAGCACAATTTTCTTCATTTTGTGAAAATATAATAAACGTATTCGGATTATTAGAAAATCTTTTAAGCCTCCTTTATGGATTTTTTTTGTATCTCTTATTTATGCATGTAACAGGCTGACCGAGAAAAGTGATATGTATAGTTTAAATTCCTTTATTTTGGAACTGATTACAAGTCAGTATACGGTGACAAAAGGCTGTGTTGAAAATATTCATATTCTTCAACAGTCCCTTTCTTGAAGGAGGGGTATAAGAAGCATTATTGATCCCACATCCCATGCAGGCTTGAAAATATGTTTACACAAATTATGTTTGGAAAGGTGTAGAGACCGCAATGGAATTTGCCACCAATTTCCATCCAGACGCCAACTATGACTATGAGTCATATGCTGATACGAATGGAGAGTCAAATGATGGTGATGGGATCAAACAATTCAATAGACATGAGTCATGTTGATCTTGAAACAAAAAAGTGGGAGAAAGTAGATATTGAATCATGGTTAATGTTTAGCATCATATGCAAACTCTTTACCTAGAGGGAAACTTGTAGAAAATGAAACACTGAGATATGAGTTATGTAAATATTTTAGGAATTTGAGAGCCCTGGAAGATGAGAAATGTATCATAATAATTTGTTAGCTTTCTGTAGACATTGCCAGCTGGTTTCTATAAAAGTTTGAATTCAAACCAATTAAATAGATATTGTCTACTTTGAGTCTGATCTATACGTATTTTCTTTGTGTTTTAATTGAGGGCTCCAAAGCTTATAAATTGATAGGCTCACATTCCTTGGCAATGTGGGATGCTATCATTGGCTCAGTTTCAAAAGGGTCCTTTACAATATTTCCTCTGAACTTGGGAAGTTTCCTGGACAGGGCCTAACTTTAACTGAGGTTTGTAGCATTAAAAGCTTTAAACTGAGCTTACCATTCATGATTCAACCCCATGAAAATGACAACCCTTTCCAGCTGGGCTACAATTTAATTGACAGAGATAGATAGCACACCACACTTGACTGGAGCTTATAGTACAGAGCTGGTCAAGTCATCTCTTAGGCTGCAGCTTGTATACGTTATAACTACAAGTTTGTCAACTACTCGGCCGAACCCGAAGGAAGCGTCAAGTGTACGTTAACCTTTTCTAAAACTCTAATTTAGCTTGAAAGTTTAGAAATTATGTTTTATGTGGCCAACTAGGCAAGGAAACGTGGTAGTTTGAAAAATCAAAGTTATAAAATCTAGTTGTTGATAGGTTGACTTGCTCAAGAAAATATTGCTTGATCATGATACTCTTTTTTAAATGGGTTATTATCAGCAACCTCCATTGAGGTTTAAGTTTATGTTATCAAGACCCCTTAAATATTAAAAAATGCTGGTCACCTCCCCTAAGTTTTCATGAAAAATGCACTATCCTCCCCTGAGCCCAGTTAACAAACGGTAATGGTTAAAGGATATAGGGCACATGCGTAATTTTCCATGTTGCTAATATATATATATATAAAAAATGAATTTAAAACAAAAAAATCTTGGTTTATCATAATAATTTTACTTTGTTAGTGAGGATTCAGAATCAGTATATAAGATGTTTGTTAAAATGACTAAGAGAATAAATGCAGTATTGATCAAGTAATGTATGAGGTTTGTATTAAGTGAGGTTGTTTTGGCATATGCTGAGATAGAGTTGTTTGTTATTGGACAGCAAATGCATTCTCGAGCTGAGAAACCCTTCTCTTAAACTTTTTTTCATAATTCTGATGTGATAATTCGTAATTTGTCAGTCGTAATTTATCAGTAGGACTTAGATGAGATCCATTATGAGCTGACCAATTATAAACTACTACATCGAAGTTGTAAAAGAAAGTTTATAAGAAGAGGTTATGGGTATAGTATTTCTTTTTCTCCGAGTTATAGGAGAAGAACTGATTTTCTACATCTAGGTTTAATAATTCATGTTGCCTGATATAGGCCTAATGCGCACAGATTTGATTTACTGTTGGAAGTTTGACTTATAAATGGGATTCTCGGTCAACGGAAGACGGCGATGCGATAAGACCCACTTTTCTTCTCAGTTTAGATGACTTCTAAAACAGGGCACAAGCTGAAAACAGTAGTCTCTCCCGTGACATCCGCTAGCTTAATTGAAGTCCAATACACGCTTTATGAACCAAACACGTAGGTAGCACTAAATATAAGTATCCCATAACAATTTAACATGAATATAACTGAATTTGGAACCAAAAAGAGTCCAGCATGTTTGGTGGGCAGAAAAAACTTTTGGTTCTAGAACTATGTATGGTGGTCATTGTTCAAGTTATCGTTACTATCAGCGACTCGAAGCTAGCTGCAGCAGATAATAAACACTCTGAAATGAAGCTTCCCAGTGACCCTTCTGGTTAGTATACATTTCACATTAGAATTTCGTGTATCATGCTTAGAAAAGATTGTTTAGAAAAATATTTCCAACCTGCAAACAAAGATTTTTCTGCTTTGTGTTCTATTTATCAATCCTAAGTCAAATAGTTCTGTGAATAGTATAGCTTTTTAAAGCACTTTGCGGCTCTCTGTCACTTATGGTCTTAATAATATGGGCCATGACATCTTAATTGGCTGATTGACTGCTACTTTCTCAGTGTGCAAAGTTCCTACTTGATATATTTTTTCTGTCAAATTCGGCTTCCAGATTTCATAAGCATTGACTGTGGAACGAGTGGAGATTACATAGATAATGAAACTGGTCTATTTTATGAGTCAGATGCAAAATACATTGATACAGGAGAAATCAATGAGGTATCTCCCAATTTCACTGCGCCAGCTTACCACCTTCAGGTAAGGCTTTTGAGGAGCTTTCCTCAAGGAATGAGGAATTGTTACACACTGAAGCCTAAACAAGGTGCAAACCATAATTATCTAATCAAGGCTATTTTTGTATATGGGAATTATGATGGCAAAAACCAGTTCCCGTCTTTTGACGTATATCTTGGTGTTAATAAATGGGTGACTATAGATTTCGTAAATGATTCCAGAAGTTCAACAGTACTTGAGATTATGCATGTTCCCTCAGTGGATTACATAGATGTGTGTCTTGTAAAGACTGGCTATGGGTTACCCTTTATTTCAGTGTTGGAGTTAAGGCCTCTAGACAACTCCATTTATCAAATTCAAGATGGTGCACTCATGACCATTAGGAGATATGATGTTGGTGTTATTTCTCGTTATACCAGGTAAATGATTTAAAGCATTCCCAAAAATGTTGTTTTATCACAGAATTCTTGAACTTACAGATTGACAAATTGAAATCACGTACTGCATTTCATTATTTTCCTGTGGCAACCATTATTCATCACATTGATTCACATTTGCGGATATCAATGTTTCTCATTTAGGTACCCAGTTGACGTCTATGATCGCTTGTGGACTCCTTATAATTTCAGTGACTCGACTGTCATTTCCACACAGTCAACAATATATACTCAAAGTTTGGATGATGGTTATAAAATACCAGCTAAAGTGCTGAAAACTGCCGCAAAATCACAAAATGCTAGCATTCCCCTGAGTTTATACTTTGACGACCCTCTAGATTCTTCTACTCAATGTTATGTTTACTTCCACTTTACTGAGATTGAAAAGCTTAAGGAAGGCCAGAAAAGGGAATTGCGTATTGAGCTAAATGGTGAACGCAATCTTACAGAATCTATTAGTCTTGAATACCTAAAGCAAACAACCACAGCTCCAAATAATCCACCAATCAATGGCAGTCGACTTCATTTTTCTATTTATGCAGCGGAAGGTTCAAATCTTTCTCCAATCCTTAATGCCGTCGAAGCTCTTGTGTTGGTAGAGCTGCCACTTTCACCAACAAACCTTAATGATGGTATTTCTCTTCTCATTTGTTGCTCTAGATTAAGAATTAGCTTAAAGATAACTTGTTCAGAACTAGTTTAGAGATCGGTTATCTTTGTTTTCATTCACTATCACGAAGGCAATTTAGTGGCAAGAAATTTATCCTCTTTCTCTTAAATGATAATTGACTGAATTCCCTTTTGTCACTGATCCAACAGTTAATGCTATTAAGGATATCAAACAAATATACAAAGTGACTAGAAACTGGCAAGGCGATCCATGTGTCCCAAGTAATTTGTCCTGGGAAGGTTTGAATTGTTCCAACGATGTTACTCCAAGGATCATCTCATTGTGAGTACTCCTTCAATGACAAAAAATTCTCAATGAAAGGTAGTATAATTTGACTAAGCAAAGAAGGTCTTCCAACTTGGGGGAAAATTTTGACAAAACTGAATCTGTTTTTATGGAATGGCCAAACATGGCACAACTGAGTGAGAAAATTTCTGTTTGAAAATTGATTTGCGCTTATTTTTTCCATCAATTTCAGAATTAATGGTGATGCATTCTCTTTGATGAATTTGATGCAGGAATTTGAGCTCAAGCAAATTGACAGGAGAGATAGCAACTTCACTCTTTAATCTCGAAGCATTAACGTCACTGTAAGCATAATAATATAGTGACTGACTCTTAGCATTCAGTCACTTTTAGTCAAGACTCAGATGATTACAGATTGGCATCTAGATCCATTACTAGCAAACACCTATATGCGCCTGGAGACTGTGTTTTACATTTTTGCTAGAAATTTATTGTGCTAAACCCCATAAAAACGACAGCCCATAAAGAGGAGCTACCTCTTTTTGTTACAGGGATTTATCATACAACAACTTAACAGGGCCGTTACCAGAATTTTTCGCACAACTGCTAAATCTAAAAGTCCTGTAAGTAGTTAACTTTGAGTTTGAAATTGAAATTGGAACTATGAATTTTGGAGTAGGATGTGGGGATAATGTGTCTGACTTGCAGGAACTTAACTGGGAACAAACTCACTGGTTCAGTTCCTGATGCTCTTATGGAAAAGTCCAATGGTGGAACACTTTTGATGAGGTTTTCTATCTTCTTAGTGCTAATGCTTTTGTTTATATAGTTGCTTATGGTTCATCACAAGTTTTACTTCTTTTCTCGTTCTCTTTTGTTCTTCTGTAAGTGCTTGACATGGAAAACCTGTGGTTATTTAGCCTCAAGCTCTTTTCTCTTTCTCTTGTTTTCTTTTTTCTTTCATATCATGAGAACTTACCTTCTTCGTTTTCATGCAAGACTTGAAGGAAATCCAGATCTTCGCCTATCTGTTCCGTTCCATCAAAAGAAAATGAAATTTATTACTCCAGTAATTGCATCTGCTATAGTTGTCTTGCTCATTCTTCTCGCCACCATTGCTCTGGTTTTGTTTAAAAGGAGAAGTAGAGGAGGTAATATCTTTCTTTCATTCTTCCCGTAAATTTCCATGTAGAATTTTATAGCCTAGCCCTAACTAATGTAACGATTTCATAAACACATCAAATCCTACGAGAAAGCTTTGAGAATAGACTAAGAAACTACAGAAATAGAAGGACTGGCTTACTTTACTGGCCAAACGAGAGTCTAAGTTTTGAGTAACATTTTGTATTTGTTCATTTAGGGATGATTACTGGATACAGGAAGCAAGTATCGCTGAAATCTAAGAATGAAGCATATACTTACACTGAGATTGCTACAATTACTAAAAATTTTGCAACCGTTATCGGAGAAGGAGGATTTGGAAAAGTTTACTTGGGTGTTCTGAAATACAACACTAAAGTCGCTGTTAAGGTGCTTTCTGATACATCAAAACAAGGCTATAAGGAGTTTCGAGCAGAGGTTAGATACAACAATGCAGTCAAAAAATTTTAAACACTTGAAAATTTTGTATTGAAACTACTTAAGAGTTTTGTAAGACAGACAGACAGTTTCAATTTGATTGCAGGCAGAACTTTTAAGGTCGGTCCACAATAAGCACTTGCTTTATCTCATTGGGTACTGTGATGAGGATGAACATAAGGCACTGATATACGAATTCATGGAGAATGGAAACTTGAAAAATCGTTTAAAAGGTACACTCTCTAACTGGCAACTCCCAAGTTCATTTGTCTCCACAAACCTGACTCATCCTTTGATTTGCAGAGCAGACAGATGCAGATTCCCTGAGCTGGAAAGTCAGACTTAATATTGCGATTGATGCAGCCAAAGGTTTGTATGCATAACTAAACAATTATAATTTTTCTTCATCTTCTTTGGTTGTTTTTTCACCTCTTTACAGTAAGTTAACTCTTGACTAATTGGAGTTGCAGGATTAGAGTATCTGCACAATGTTTCCAAGCCACCTATAGTCCACAGAGATTTGAAGACTTCCAACATCTTAATTGACGAAAAGATGAGAGCGAAACTAGCCGATTTTGGACTGTCTAGAGTTGTCACAGAAAGTGGACCTAATTCTACTAACCCTGCTGGCACATTTGGATACATAGATCCCACGTAAGTATTAAAACAGAATGAGAAGTGCTGCTAAATAATCGTTTTGGTGGATGTATATGAACTAATCATCTAAATTTTCCATACAGAATACGTCTATCTAAAACCTTAACTAGGAAAGTGGACGTTTACAGTTTTGGGATTATTCTGTTTGAGCTCATTACTGGGAAGCCTGCAGTAATTGATATGGACCTAGGAAGTGACGCATACCATATTCTTGAGTGGGTTATTCCTGAAATTGAAAGAGGGGCTATCCAAAACATCATTGATCCAAGGTTACAGGGACAATTTAATGCCAATGCTGTTCAGAAAATGGCAAATGCTGCCTGTTCATGTGCACGACCAACTGTAGATGAAAGACCAGACATAAGTGATGTACTGGCAGAGTTGAATAAATGTTTGGCTATAGAGATGGATCCTGGAACAACCTGCAAGACAACCTCAAGTAATATGCCTGAAGAGGCCTGTTCTGGGAAAAGTACAGAGATAACTCCCTTTAATCTGGTAAGTGCTGAACTCTCATGGTTGGAATAGCATTTCAAAGTTTTTGTGGATAGTTTAATTATATAAACCAACAAAAAAAGGAAAAAAAAATCTAAATCTATTATTCTCCTCTCACAAAATTCATTGCCATATTTATTGAGTTGAAGCTCACATATTGTCTCCACCATTTTGCAGGGAAGACTTTTTGAAGAAAGAGATGAAGATTGCTGATAACCAATGAAATAGTTTGAAGATTTCTGGCCTCGGTCTTTCATATCTTACTATCTATTGGATTTAGAGTTGATCTCTTCGACTATAATTTGCTATGATGGTATACAATCATAACAAATTAAGTTTTGAGAGACCTGGAGGTAGGTATTTCATGATTAATCTTGCAGCATAATGAAGCTGAAGAAATCATGCAGCATGCTGAGCTGAAGCATCAACGAATGAAACTGTAAAATGAAACTGTAAATTAGTTAGTTTGTATCAAGTTAGTTAGCATTTTGTTATTGTAATTAGTTAATCTGTTCAGTCTGTTAAATAGTAGTTAGAAGTTAGTTGTAGTTGAAGTTAGTTTGTCCACTCAGCTAAAATAAGAGTTGGTTATCAAACACATTGTATACAAGGACTACTACTGTAACTAAAATTCAATTCTGAAAAATCTTTGATTCTTAAATGAAGAAGTATTTTTCTCAGAATCATTTCAGAATTGGTTTTATCATGGTATCAGAGCTTCATTGAAGCAAAATTTTTTTTTCCTCTTCTAAATCCATTACGCTTCTGCATTCACAAGACTACTTCAACAAATAAGATTCCACCAATTTTTCCAGTCCTTACTATCTGCACCCTAACGAAAATCCTGCTCGTTTTAGTCTCTCCAGTTCTCAATGGCACTAATTACCATTCCTGGAAGCGAGCTATGAAAATGGCTTAATTTATTGTCAAAGAACAAGCTGAAGTTTGTAGTGGCACAATCAAAGCACCCTCCAATACAGATTCCTCTGTTTTCAGTCTGGGAAAGATGCAATACAATGGTATTATCTTGGCTCACTCATTCACTTTCTCCATCAATTACTAATAGCATATTATGGATTGATAAAGCATATGATGTATGGACTGACCTTCACGAAAGATTTTCACAAGGAGATATTTTTAGAATATCAGATTTGCAAGAAGAAATTTATAGTTTTAAGCAAGGAGATAAAAATGTAAGTGATTACTTCACTGAGTTAAAAATCCTTTGGGATGAATTAATGATCTTCAGACCCCTTCCATTGTGCACATGTTCCACTCCTTGTTCTTGTGGAATCTTGAACACTTTTAAAACCTATCAAAACAATGACTATGTGATAAGGTTTCTTAAGGGCTTGAATGACTCATTCACTGTCGTAAGATCACAAATCATGCTCATGGATCCTCTGCCTTCCATAAACAAGGTTTTTTCCTTAGTTGCTCAACAAGAAAGACAATTGAGTTTGGGAGGTGCCAAAGTGTTCGTAAATAAATCTGATCGAGAAAGTGTTCAGTTCCCTTCAAAATCCCAACAACAATTTCAACAGCAGAATTTTAGTCTTCCAAGTACCAACAAGGCAGAAAGTATACTCAATCTTCCAGTGGAGGAGATAATCGCTTTTGCACCTACTGTGGCAAGCCCAGACACACAATAGAAACATGCTATAAAAAGCATGGTTATCCTCCAGGATACAAGCCTAGGAATTCTACTGCCCACAATGTTGTTGTCACAGAAGAAAACAATAGCACTAAAGGTCTGCAGTTACATTCTGATGTGCCAAGTTCAAACCAAGAAAAGTCTGGTTCTAATGTTTCCTTTACTCCACAACAATATCAACAACTATTGGCTCTACTACAACCAGCAAATTCTGCTCAACCTTTACATACTACCAACCAAGTTGTGTCACAACCCCATCAGCCAGCATTGATCCCTCATTTTTCTTCCACATCAGGTACTCATTTAGCTTTATCATGTACCTCTAAATCTCCATTATGGATAGTGGATACTGGAGCCACTGATCACATTACACACTCTTTGTCATGTTTTGACACCTACAAACAAATTAAACCGATCTTAGTCACCTTACCAAATGGCTCAAAAATCACTGCCAAATATGCTGGAACAGTTTGCCTAACTAAGCAACTTATTCTCACAGATGTCTTATATTTACCTGAATTTTCTTTCAACCTTATCTCTGTAACCAAACTTACATCTTCATTAAACTGTTGCTTAATCTTTCAAAGCTCATGTTGCTTGATTCAGGATCTGACTGTGTGGAAGACGATTGGTTCAGCTAAAGTGCTTGATGGCCTGTATGCAATGACAAAATCATCCAGTTTCAATGTTCTGCCACCTACTCAGTTCACATTACCTGCTTAAGCTTCATTAGCTTCAACCACTACTACTTTTGATCTTTGGCATCATCACCTTGGTCATATTTCAGATACTAGAATGAAACTTTTATGTTCTAGTATTCCTAATCTTCAATTCCATAATAATGAAGCATGTAATGTTTGTCATTTGGCCAAACAAAAGAAATTGCCTTTTCCTGTTATTAATACTAAAACCAGTACATGTTTTGATCTGATTCATGTAGATATTTGGGGTCCTTTCTCTACTTGTTCAATTCATGGCCATAGATTTTTCTTAACTATTGTTGATGATTATTCAAGGTTCACATGGATATTCTTACTTAAACAAAAATCAGAAGTAAGAAATCTAATTCAATCTTTTTTCTTGCTTGTTGAAACTCAATTCTCCAGAAAAATTAAAGCCATTCGGTCTGACAATGGTTCTGAATTTTCCATGCATGTTTTCTATGCTTCAAAAGGAGCTTATCACCAAACTTCTTGTGTTGAGACACCCCAACAAAATGGTGTGGTGGAAAGAAAGCACCAACACCTGTTAAATATTGCCCGATCCTTGCTTTTTCAGTCTAACCTACCCAAACTGTACTGGAATTATGCTATAGGTCATGCCATTCATTTGATAAATCGGCTTCCCACTCCTTTATTGCAAAACAGGTCCCCATTCCAATTGCTTTACAACACTCTCCCAAATTACAACTCCTTAAAAACTTTTGGTTGTCTATGTTTTGCTTCTACTCTATCAGCTCATAGAACAAAATTCGATTTTCGGGCTAGGAAGTGTCTTTTCCTTGGCTTTCCTTCTGGCACCAAAGGTTTCATTCTCCTGGACTTACATTCCAGAGAAATATTTGCCTCCCGAAATGTCTTGTTCTATGAGTCAACTTTTCCATTTGTTGACAATTCTCAATCTCCTACTCCTTTACCTCATGACACCACTTTACCATTTTTTGATTCTATTTCTTCTTCAACAAAAACTGGCCAATCGATAGCTTCTGACTCTACTTCTCCTCAACAACCAGATCATCTTTCTTCCAACAATTCAAACACTTCTCTTCCTTCTTCTACTCAACCTGTCACCCGATCATCTCATCGGCATCGTAAGCCTCCATCTTATCTGCATGATTATCATTGCAACATGGCCACAGCAGCTGAAGCTACCACTTTCCAGTCAGGTATTCTTTATCCTTTATCCTCTGTATTATCATATTCTGGTTTATCCCCTAAACACTTACATTACACCCTTGCCATTTCCACAACTGATGAACCAAAAACCTACAATCAAGCCATCAAACATGATTGTTGGAAAGCAGCTATGCAAGCTGAAATTTCTGCTTTAAACCAGAATAATACTTGGACTCTCACTAGTTTCCCTCTTGGAAAAACCCCCATTGGCTGTAAATGGGTTTATCGGATCAAAAGAAAGGCTGATGGCACAATTGAGCGTTACAAAGCTCGTTTAGTTGCCAAAGGATATACCCAAACCGAAGGTATCGACTACTTTGATACATTCTCTCCTGTAGCTAAGCTTACAACTGTCAGACTCCTTCTTGCCTTGGTTGCTTCTTCGAACTGGTTCCTGAAACAACTTGACGTGAATAACGCTTTCCTGCATGGGGATTTATCTGAAGAAGTTTACATGGTCTTGCCTCCAGGTTTCAGCTCTTCTCATCCCAATCAGGTTTGCCGTCTTCAAAAGTCCTTTTATGGACTCAAACAGGCCAGTCGTTAGTGGTTCTCAAAACTTACTTCTGCTCTACTATCTTTTGGCTACACTCAATCATCTTCTGATCATTCACTTTTTGTTAAACACCATAATGGTTCTCTTACGGCTCTCTTGGTGTATGTTGATGATGTTATCTTGGCAGGAAATGATTCTTCAGAAATTGATCGTGTGAAGGCCTACCTTGATGCTGCCTTCAAAATAAAGGATCTCGGTGATCTCAAATTCTTTCTTGGATTGGAGGTTGCACGTTCCAAGCATGGCATTTCTCTCTGCCAACAAAAATATGCTCTTGAAATATTATCAGATGCTGGCTATCTAGCTTGTAAACCTGCCACTACACCGATGGATTCTTTCATAAAGCTATCTAACACTGATGGTGATCTTCTCTCAGATCCCACTTCTTACAGAAGGTTGGTTGGGCGTCTCCTTTACTTAACCTCTACAAGACCTGACTTATCTTTTGCTGTTCAGCAATTAAGTCAATTTCTTGACAAACCAACCTCAACACATCTTCAAGCTGCCAATCGTGTTCTTCGGTATGTTAAAAGTTGTCCAGCTTATGGTCTATTCTTTCCTGCCTCATCTGAACTTACACTAAAAGCCTTCAGTGATAGTGATTGGGCTGGTTGTCCTACTACTCGCAAATCCATTACTGGTTTCTGTGTATTTCTCGGCTCCTCTTTGATCAGTTGGCGTGCCAAGAAACAAACAACTGTGTCCAGATCATCCTCCGAAGCTGAGTATCATGCTCTCACCTCCACAACGTGTGAAATTCAATGGTTACATTATTTACTTCACGATCTTCATGTCCTTCATTCACATCCTGCCTTGCTTTTCTGTGACAACAAGTCTGCACTTCAGATTGCTGCCAATCCCACGTTCCATGAGCGTACCAAGCACATTGAAATAGACTGCCATGTTGTCCGCCAGAAGGTTCAATCAGGTCTCATTCATCTCATGCCATGTTCTTCTTCTGATCAGTTAGCTGACTTACTCACTAAGGCTCTTTCTCTTGCACCTTTTCGCGCTAATCTGTCCAAGCTGGGAATGTTAAGTATTCATTCTCCAGCTTGTGGGGGGATCTTGCAGCATAATGAAGCTGAAGAAATCATGCAGCATGCTGGAGCTGAAGCATCAACGAATGAAACTGTAAAATGAAACTGTAAATTAGTTAGTTTGTTATCAAGTTAGTTAAACAGTTAATTAGCAGTTTGTTAATTGTAATTAGTTAATCTGTTCAGTCTGTTAAATAGTAGTTAGAAGTTAGTTAAGTAGTTAGAAGTTAGTTTGTCCAGCTCAGCTAAAATAAGAGTTGGTTATCAAACACATTGTATATAAGGAACTAACTACTGTAACTAAAATTCAATTCTGAAAAATCTTTGATTCTTAAATGAAGAAGTATTTTTCTCAGAATCATTTCAGAATTGGTTTTATCAATTAATTCTGGAATTGATCATATCTTGTTAAGCACGGTTTGATTGGTAGATTTCAAATTGATGGTTTAGTGTCATGGACTAATACAGTTTGGCATGCACATGGATTTTCTTTCCTTTCTTGTATAGAAACTATCGAAATTGAAGTTATCTTACATTCGTGATATTAGTGAGCTATTATGGTGTATATACGTAATTATCTCTTCCCTTTCTTGGGGTGAGTTCTACCCCGAGCCTTAGATTTGATTTATAATAGGGGTTTAGTGTTACGTCTCCAATATTGTAGATTTTTTCTTTGCGAAGAAATTTGTTTCATGCGTTGTACTAAACACTAATTCATTTATATCAGCCGAATGGGTTGGTGAAGCTCATAAATTAACATTGACTTTGTTGCTCTTAGCCATTATTAGCCTTTCAGCCTTGCCCTTAGGATAAATCCCTTTATGTATTCCTATGCATGAGAGATTAGTTCAGTAAGCCCTCGATAAATTTAAGAGGAACTTATATTGCCACCCCTGATATAGAATGAAAAGACACTGACTCGACACGTTGACCCTGTCTTCTCACTAAACCTTTGCAGTCAATATTGTTGAAAGTTGAATCATTTTGGTAGAAGATGAAAGTGCTGTGGCTGAAGAAAAAATATGCTACAGCAAATGAATGTAACTCAAATCATGAATTTGTCTAGAAGTGAAGATGAAGTTCTCTGAAAACATATCAGAGAACCCATCGCCGCGTCAAAGGAAAAGTCTACCGCGGTGCAGGAGTTTGCCGTGGCAAAATTTTGTTTTGATCTCAGAATTTTGACCTCTAGCATAGTTTGGTCCCCCAAGTAAAGATCTTGGCATCACCCCTGAAATGGATCGTTCTGTCATGGCAACTTCAGAATTAACTACTCATTATTGATTTATGGAGCAAGATAGAGAAGAGAAACAAACTCTGGAAATCTGATTAAATGAATGAGACTAGTGATCTGAAACAAGTGAGCATGGTCTCAATCAGAATCACTGACATTTCTAATTTTCCCATAAACTCAAAAAACAAGAAGAAATTTTTTTTTTAACTTTGAGTCTTTTTCAAGTCTGAGTAAGTTCATTTATTGCAGAGTGTCGGTGGACTTACAAATAAATTCAATCCCATGGTGCACACCAACAGACTTGTTTTATTTATGACAGAACTAATGCAGATTAAAATTCAAAAGCCTTGGACCACACATTGCCAGTACATTAAACTAGAAACATAAAGTCTTTGCATAATAAAATTAGAGCTGGAAATGTCCCCTGCTCTATAAACATTACTCAAAAAATAACTTAGTGTGCCTGCAGACTGTTATGAAAAAAGAAGAATCATTCAAGTTTCAAACTGTATATAACAACCAGCTTGAAAAAGAGAAGAAAGCAGTTAAGCTCTATTAAATTTTACATGTAAGAATTAATTAAGATTTAACATTAGGTTACTTACTTAACAAGCATGATTTAATGCATTAATCAGATTGAAAAAGAAAGAAGAAAGAGGGCATTTAATGTGGGTCAAAAAGTTATGGTGACTGAAAAGCATAAAATATGGGACTCCTGATCTAGGAACGATGTCTGAGTGTGGTTTCTGGATATTACTTACTGAAGAAACCCAGTATCCAACAAAAAAAAAAAATATATTAAATGCGAAACCCCATTTTCCATTTAACTTAGTATTCCAAGAACTTAACATCAGTAAGGTACAAAACTATTCAATCTAAATTACCTTAAATCGCTATTTTCATATTTACTTCTTATCCAGAATGGATATGTTAGAGATCCCATTCTGATACCAATTTCATTTTGTATTTTTTGTTTTGAGATTGAAGCCGGTCCAACCAATAGACATTGGTAGACTAAATCCAGGGCCAATCGAGTAGACATTATCTGCTTTGAAATTAAATCCATTTAGGCTTCATGCAAGCGTTTTTCCCCCAAAATGCGTCTACTAATTAGGAGTCCTATAAACTGAATGTCAAACTCATTTACTAATGACGTAGGATGTAAAAAAATTATTAGTCTATTACTGTCGACGAACATGAAGAGATAAAATTTTACAGTCTCGGAGGCAAGAAAGTTCTCAATTTAGGCTCACACAAGCGTCTTTCCCCCAAACCAAATCTACTTAGTTAAGAGCCTTGTAAACTGAATCTCGAACTCATTTACTAATGATGTGGGATGTAACAGAATTAGTTGTTTATTACTGTGGATGAACATGAGATAAAATTTTGCAATCTCGGAGGCAAGAAAGTTATCAATTTAGGCTCATGCAAACATCTTTCCCCCAAAACACATCTACTTAGTTAAAAGCCTTATAAACTGAATCTCAAACTCATTTGCTAATGACGTGGGATATGTAACAAAATTAGTCGTTTATTACTGTGGATGAACATGAAGAGATAAAATTTTGCAGCCTCGGAGGCAAGAAAGTTCTTTAGTTACATTTAATGGTGTTGAATGTGATGATATTTTGCTGAAAACTAATGTGGATATGGTCGTTGGATGGAGCTGCAAAGTTGGCGGCAAAAGTTCAAGTTCAAGTGCAAGCAGCATGTTTTAGCCTAGAAGCAGTTTAGAGAGGCTGTTTTTGTTGATAATTTATTGTAATGTTTTGGTTGATTTCAGCTACAATTCAGCTGGTCATTAGGTGCTTAGTTAAGTGATGTTATTGTAGTGATTAGCAAAAAGTATGGTTGATGTAAATTTGCTTGTAAAGTTACTGCAGGATAGCTGCAATAGTGCACAAAAAGGTGTTTGTATAAAGTTCACAACTTTTTAATGAAAATCTGTACTTCCACAAAACTCTCTTTCATACGTTTTTTAGCCTTCATTTTCTTTGCATTATCTAGCTAAAAAGCCAACAACTTGAATACTACCTCTGTGCAGGTAGTTGAATGCAAGTAATGCATGTGGTCTGGCATAGAATTTAATTACAGCACATGCAACCTTCTCCCATCTCATAATAATGTCATCATGTAATAAAAATCTCAACCACCGAGCATCCCTTCAATGCCAAAATAAAAAAGATATCATAATTGTGGTTTCTGTGTAATGCAGAGATTATAAGAAAAGGATACAATACCTAATGAACTGTTATTGTTTACATCTAAAGCAAAAAAAAAATAGGCTTTCAATGCCTAATGTAATCACTTGAACTACTATATTTATTAGCCACTCCCAACCTCTATCCTCCTCCTTTAAGGCTACTTTAAATCGGTCAACGTCCTTTCCATTATAAGCTCAGTGTCATAACTCAAAAGTTTCTCAAGCACCATTTGTGAGGGAAGCCATGGATTTAAGTTGCAGAAGGTTACATTTTTTAGTCGTCCTTACGTTCGCTCTTTCAAGCAAAGGGTATTCACAGCCTCTTGTTCCTGCCATCATTACTTTTGGTGATTCTGCAGTTGATGTTGGTAACAATAACTATATTCCAACTCTTTTCAAGGCCAATTACCCACCTTATGGAAAAGACTTCGTCAATCATCAACCCACTGGAAGGTTTTGCAATGGAAAATTAGTCACGGACTTCACTGGTAAGTAGTACTCAAATAATTTATAACCTTGTCTAAATTATAAAGTTAGAATACTAATTTCTTTTGTTTTCAATTTCTCTTTCAGCTGATACCCTACAATTTACGAATTATGCACCGCCATATCTTAGTCCACAGGCTTCAGGCAAGAACCTTCTTATTGGAGCCAACTTTGCTTCAGCTGGAGCTGGTTATGATGACCAAACATCCATCATAAACGTATGTATTTTAATATTGTACCACCATCAATAATTATCCGTATAATGTTTTAGTGTTTTAGATAAATATTTCTTCTCAGAAAAAAATGAACTGTGCTTTGTGTTGCAGCATGCAATCCCATTGTCTAAGCAGTTGCAGTACTATAAGGAGTATCAGTCAAAGCTAGCAAAGGTTGCTGGAACCAAACAATCAGCTTCCATCATACAGGATGCAATATATATTTTGGGTGCAGGGAGTGGCGATTTTCTTCAGAACTACTATGTGAATCCTCTACTCAACAAAGCCTATACTCCTCAACAATACAGCTCAATCCTTGTCAGCACATTCTCAAGTTTTATCAAGGTACCTTCGCAACTTAAAATGCTATAATTCCTGAGAAAAATTGCAAGAAAGTTAAGGCTTATTGGCTGCTTTGATTGGGAAACAGACCATGTATAGCTTGGGAGCAAGGAAATTTGGAGTGACTTCACTGCCACCACTGGGTTGTCTACCTGCAGCAAGAACCTTATTTGGGTTCCATGAGAAGGGGTGTGTCTCTGGAATCAACACAGTTGCCCAACAATTTAACAAGAAGCTCAACTCTTCGGCAGTAAGTCTCCAAAAGCAACTTCCTGGTCTGAGACTTGTGATCTTTGATATTTTCCAGCCACTCTATGATCTTGTCAAAAATCCCTCAGCTCAAGGTGATGTACAGAATTTGTTAAATGTTGTATCATAAGAGCATTGAATGATTGTTAATATAAATATTATGTTTTTTTTAGGTTTTGTGGAAGCAACAAGAGGTTGCTGTGGAACAGGAACTATAGAGACAACAATATTTTTGTGCAATCCACACTCACCAGGAACATGTTCCAATGCCTCTCAGTATGTGTTTTGGGACAGTGTTCATCCATCTCAGGCTGCAAATCAGGTTCTTGCCGATGCATTGATTGTTGCAGGGCTTGCTCTCATTTGAAGAGGATATCAAGTCCTAAATTAACTGTAATTTTGCATTTTATCTAGTTGATACTTCATTTCAGTTAATCTCTCCTTTGCTACTTCCTTCTGTAAGATGTCTCAAGTGTATCACTATTTGATGGTTGTCTTAATACTAAGAGCCAGAAGCTTGTTTTACTAATTATGTTGATGAACTCTGGTCAGAGAAAAAATTTCATTCAGTCTGCCACGATTCTAGGATTTTGAAAATGGCTTAAAATTCTACAGCTTGAGCCTGGTCTCTTTGTGTGAGATCTAATTGACACGAAAGGAGGTAGTAAATCATTAAAAAATCAACGAGGAACAAGATGTTTAATCCATTTAAAACTCATAATCTCCAGAACCAAAGAAAGCATGAGGTAAAATAATGATCATGGAAAGGAAACAAGGATGTCACATTAGTCAAGAAAATATCTAAATGTTCTGGTCCCTCCAAGTGACATATGACAGTAAGATCAAAATAGCATAAAATTGTGTCCTATTCGCGTAAAGTTGAAAGCAATTCAGCAAATGTTTGCAAATCAGCTGTACATAAGGAGAAATTTTGTTGACAGAAACTAGAATGGTGAGCATGTAAGAAATGTGTTATGCCACTGGTTAGTAGCTCAAGCAGGTGACAGACTTTTGCAAAGCAACACCACCGTCTGCACTTGTCCTAGCATTTGCCTCCTTCAAGACTTGAACCATGTTGTTAGCTTGTTTAGCAAAGGTATTTGGTAAGTTCTTGTTGTTAGCTTGTTTAGCCAAGGAATTTGGTGTGTTTTGCAGATTCATTGTCTCAGAGTTGTTCACATCCAACCGCAGTCCAGTTATCTTTGTAATACACTCAGGCTAGACACACAGAAAATAAATCCATCAGCGGACATAAAATCACGAGTTCATAGCATAAAGCATATTCACACAGATACAAAGCTGCATCTTCCCTTAACAACTGATATAAAATTCAAAATTAAAGTTAATAAATCACAAACCTGAAGTTTATCAACAAGGCGGTAGATAACATTCCCAGCCCTATTCTTGCTGCTCAAAGAAGATCTCACCACAGCATGACTTCCAGAAGTTGCTCCATTGGAGGAATTTGGTGAGTTTTGCGGTTTCGTTACCTCAGAATTATTCACACCCATCTGCAGTCCAGTTATTTGTGTCATGCAATCAGGCTAGCAAGAGAAAAAGTAATTCATCAGCAGACATAAATCACAAGTTCATAGTACAAACCCACATCCACATAAGATGCAGAAAGTTAAGAATCACAAATAAGAAAGAATCTATCATTTTATGAAATATCAGAAGAAAGCATAAAGAAGAAAATGAGATGAAACTAACTGCCCAGTTCAGCACCAAATAAGAAAGAGTTTATGTATGAATCCAAGATCATTAATATCAGTTTATGTAAAGTCTTCCATAAACAAATAGCCGCAAAAGTCTGTGTTTGTAACAGTTCTATCATTTTATGAAATATCATTTCCAAGGAAATCAATATAAAGAATTGTAAGAGTGAAATTAAAGAAAAAATCTTTTTTCTTAAAAAAAGTTATAAACATACAGGGTCTTGGCAAAACCAGTTCCGGGCATCCCCAGTGCTACCCAGATGAATTTGTACCATTGGAATCCGTGATTTAAAGATTAACTTAAGAACAGAATCAGAAAGAATTGTAGCCATCAGAGCCCAGTTGCAGGAAGAATTTAGCAATATACTTACATAATAGGAATTGTTTTGTTGGTAATGCTTTGTTGAGTAAGGTTGACATAAGACCGGCTGGTGCAGTAGAGAGAATGGAGAAGAGCAAGGATCGTAACTGCAATAAAAAGAGCTGTATTGAGGACTGACACCGCAGTTGGGAGGATATGCAGGCAGAACTGGAACTTGTGCATAGATTTTGTGTAATTCCTTGCATCGATCTCTTTTACTCTGTGCTATTGCCACATAGAGAGTCCTTCCTTCAAAATTGGCCCCTATTGAAATATGAACTCACATATATATTACAATAGAATCAATTAACCCAGAAAAAATAAAATGGCAGAAAGAAGATACCATTAGATTGTGCTTACCATTAAGTGTATCCAAGGCATTCTTTGCTTCTTCAGGAGTGGAGAAACACACAAAGCCAAATCTTTTACTTGTTCCATCGTTATGGCGCATCACTCTTGAAGAAATTATATATCCAAAACGACCAAAAAATTCTTGCAATTTTTTGTCATCAACAGAGGCATTGAGATTCTTCACATACAGATTTGAGGCCTTCAACTTCTGAATCTTTGAATTGTATGTATCCTCAAGTTCACGTTTTAATCTCTCTGCCCTCTCAGCCTTCTTCTGAGCCCTTCCAACAAACAAAATCTTTGAACCTGCAAACAAATGAATTTACCATTACGAAGATAGTTCACCACACAATTCGTACAATTTAATACAATGGAAACAGGTATACTAAGTTCAATAATTACCCATTAGTGCACCATTCAAGACATCCACAGCCTTTCTAGCCTCTTCTGCTGACTCAAAGTTGACAAATCCGAAGCCTCTTGAATTGCCCTTCCCATCCTTCATGATGACAACATTACAAACCTTTCCAAATTTAGAAAACATCTCATGAAGGGCATCCTCTGTCATGTCTTCAGCCAGATTTTTCACATACAAATTGGTGAATTTTAAGTTTTCACCAGTGGCTATCCTGTCGATCTTCTTAACAAATTTTGAAACATATCTGAGGAAAAAAGGCAGCGAAGAGAAACTTTTGTAAGATAATCATAACTTAAACAAGCCTTAGAGATTACCAAGCACATAAACTTTTGTTAGTTCACTGAGAAATCATTACAATATTAGAGAATTTGGTATTCACATCATACATAACAAAAAAACTATGAGAAGCAGAAGACTCACAACTTCTTTCCACGAAATACAGTATCATGCAGAGCAGTACGAGCAGCAGCGGCTGATTCCTCCGAGTCAAACTGAACAAACCCAAAACCTTTACTCTTGCCATTTTCTTCAGCCACCTTACAAGAGAGAACAGTTCCAAACTGGCAAAACAAACCCAGCAAGCAGGTGCCTTTGACTGAAGGGTCCAAGTTCTTGATAAAGAGATTACCGGTGCCACATTTTCTTACAGAAGGATCTCTCTGATACCACATTATCCTCATCGGTATTCCCTTCAAGTCAGAGCAGTTCAGGCATGCCATAGCCTTAGATGCTGAAAAAAACAGAGAAAATTATGACAGTGAAGTAACACCTATTTATAAATCAGTTCATTGACAAGGATAAACCCATATTCTAACAAAACAGCAATTTTCACAAAGGAGAGTAAACAGAACCAAAAGAAATCAACCCAGTTTACAGGCGCATCACACAAACATAAACCAGAAACAGAGTTGTTAATACAATAAAGACACATCACACAAACATAAAGGAACCAAAAGAAACCCTTCAAGAAAACCATTCTTACGATAGAAACCCATCAACAAAAGCCAAAAAGAAAAAGAAAAAGAAAAAACTCAAAAAGGAATAGAGCACAGAAGCACAACATATACATAAATACTCCTATATTTTATGAGATTGAAACCAAAGAAAGAAAAAAACGTAAAAACAAAACCAAACCCTGAAAGAAAAGCGTACAAGAAACAAAAAATTATAAGGCAAGGTTTAATGTATGATTTATAAGCATTCCTGTCACTACTTTGCATAGTGTAAACATTATTAACCCATTTTAACTTTCTACTTCCAACATCATGATATACACTACAAATATAACATTTCAAGAAACAAAATCTCGCCATTTGCAGAAATAACCCTACCGAAAAACATATACAGAGTACAAATGTTTAGAGAGAGAACGAAACACAGAACAGAAAACAAAAACCCCAGAAAAAATAACCCAAAAAAGAAGGAAAATAACACACACACTTTACAAGAAGATAATAAATCAACAAAGTAAAGAAACCCGAAAAAAACAAAAACAGAGAGATACATTAGCAGATAGAATTATAGAAACAAGTTTTTCCAAAAGAGAAAAACAAAGAACCCACAACTAAAACAAAACCCCCAGGAAGAAAACCACCCAAGACAGAACACATTCACATTTTCACAAGAAGAAAGAAATCAAAGAAACCCAAAAATGTAGTAAAAAAACAGAGCACATAAAAACTCAAGAAACAACGTAAAATCTTTTTCATTTTCGTTTACCGTCAGAGTGATTATGAAAATTGACGTAAGCATAACGGAGACTTTTCCCCGTGACAGCGCAGCGACAGAGATAAACGGAGGTCACAGGCCCCATCGTTTGAAACGCCTCTTGCAAGTCGGACTCGGTGGTGTCAGCGTGGAGGTCACCCACGTACAGTGCAGCCCGCTGCACAGGATCAGGACTCGCCATTGGTGTTATTCTTGTTGTTGCTTCAAAAAAACGATTCTTCGTAAAACCCTAAATGCAAAGAACAGAGAGCTTTTAGAGAAAGAAAGGGAGGGAGGGTTTGTTTTGTGGGTTTTTGTTTGTTATAGAGAGAGTGAGAGGTCAGTTTTGTAGTGATGGTGAGAGTGTGATTTTGGCGGGAGAGTACTCGCTGTATTGGAGTGAAACGTGGAGAAAAGCATAAAACGCATCGTTTTCAGGAGAGAAAATGAGAGGGAGAGGATCAGAGATTCTTTTGTTTGTTATGTAACGGGCGAGGTGGTCTTTGTAGTACGGATAATATGTACGGATGATTTGGTGCGAGTATGTAGATATTTGTACTCGCGCCGCATTATTGAAACGTGCACAGAGAATTGTAAAAAGAGGATGATGTGTTTACTCAAACATTCTCAATTCTCAAATGTAATTTATTATATGTAAAAAGGTAAAGGATAAAAGAATCATTTCATATAAGTCTATTTCGGATAATAAAACTATATCAATTTTTTTTTTTTTTTTTTTTTAAAGTTTAGAAAATGAAATTACTAAAATACCCTTAATTGTTAAACACAATTTATTATATGCAAAAGGTAAGGGTAAAATAATCATTTCATATAAGTTTATTCCAAAAAATAAAATTATATATCAACTTAAAAAGTACTTTCGAAACTTGTTCTATTTACTTCTTTAAAAAAAATGTGGCCGTTAGATGAAATTTTCATCTAACCTGTAACTTTCCTACGACTGTACCGTATCATTAGTTGAAAACAACGACGTGATTGTGAATTAGTGCGAGAACTGAACTTTGAGGGTACAGAGTCTACGACAACGGTGTCGCTTTATGTGGCTTTTTCTCGAAATAATGTAATGAAAATAACAAAAAAAACTGCTTCAGAAGTATGAAACGGTGCGTTTTAGTTTTAGTAATTTTATTTGCTTGCTATCTTCCCCTTGGCTACACTTAGGCACTCCAACCCAACACAAATGGTTAAAAATTTTGCTCCAACCCAACACCAAAAACCACATGAATTGGTGTAAATAAATAGTACCACACCAAATTTGGTGCAATACTATTCATTCCCACCAATTTGGTGGATACTATTCATCTACTACAAACATATTTTATTTCTTTATTTTGTTATTTATTTGTATTTATGTTAATTTGATTTTATTTTTATTAATATTTATAATAATAAATTCATTATAATTATATAATTTAAAAAATGATGAAAATTATAACAAAACTTCATTCAATGCAAATATAAACTATAATAACCAAAATAATAACACTAATTTAAAAACACTAAAATTAAAAAAAAAATACATATAAACTAAATAACAATTTAGGGGGTGTTTGTCTGAGCTTATGAAAATTAGCTTATAAGTACAATTGCTTATAGCTAAAAAATTAGCTTATAAGCATTTGAAATTTTAAATAACTACGTGTTGGTTAAAATACTTATAAGTGACTGAGAAGTAGTTGACGTGTTTAGTAAAATGTGGCTTATAAGTATATTATTATAAAATGACTAAAAAATATATCTTAATTAAATAAGGGTATACTATGAAATTTTAAAATTAAACAAGGATAATGTGGTAATATACTTGTTCAAACTAACTTATAAGCAGTGTTTATAACAAAAAAAAAAAAGTACCTCCCCCCACTTATTTTTTTTTTTTTGCTTATAAGCTCAACTTACAAGCTCAAAAAGTTATAAACAAACAGATTATCTTAATTTTAGACTTATTTAGTTTGACCAGCTATAAACTTGACAAACACCCCCTTAGTATTCCAGTAAATTAGTTTCCAATCCCTAAATAATCAAAATACTAGAAAGAACTAGAGCTATTTTGAGATCTTTGACCTAGATTGGTTATCGAATTCAAATCTTTGAAATAAATTTTGTTATCTTCTCGATATTTTACCAAAGTCAATTTTTCATTTAGAATTTTACTTTTGTGCTATTGTCATTGTTGTTTTTTTTTTTTTTTTTTTTTTTTTTTGGGCATTTTAAATTAGATGTAATGTTTTTTTATATTAAATGAATATTTATTTGATTAATAATGTTTAATTTTATTAAATTAGTATAATTTTCAAAGTTATTATTATTTAATAAAAATATCATCCATATATTTAATTAATATATACAAAAATAATTAGTGAAATAAATTAATTTGATTATTAATAGAAAGAAATAAAAGAAAATATTCTAAGAATATTTTTTTTGTGCAATAGGTTAGGATGTAATAGTGAAATACACCAAGCCACCATTTGACGTAAAATTCACTAATTTGGTGTTTCGTGTTTGGAGATGGTCTTAGAAGACTTTTGATGCTCCATTCTGATCTTGGATAATACTGCCTACCACTCAATCTCACAAATTTTTTCTTATAACCCGACGTGACAATTTACAATTATAGGCTCGTAGTAGGTCTAGTCTATCAATTTATGAACTATCACTTGAGGTTGCTAGAAAAAATTCATTAGAGAAAAAATGCTTTTTCAAAAGACTCAAGAGAATCACAAAAGACTTTCAGCTAGGAGTTTTATTAACACAATCTATGCCATGGCAATCTTTTTTCAGAAGATCGTGGCCTGTATTGATACATCAATGTAAGCTGTTGAACCAACTGCTTAAGCTGATTCAATTCTGAAAAAAAAAAGTGGTTTCTGAGAATTTCTAATGGATATATGCTACAGTGGTATTTTTCACTATTACAATACTTAAAAAGCTAAAATTTTGTATATATAAACAAGAGAAGAATTGAGGATCCAATTGTTAGCCAAAACTGAATGATGAGTAGTTTCTTAGTTTTTTCCTCCTCCTGCCATGATTGTTCTTCAAAACTTTAGCAAATTTCATCAAATCTGCTTGATGAACAAGTTGATTTTCTACTGCCAAATCAGCAGTTTTCGCCCGATGCAAAGCGACTGGCTCATACCCACTTCCTTCATCAACCAGATCATATTCTTTTACCCTCAGTCTTTGGATGTCAAAAGAATGTCTGTATGAACTTCGAGAAACTTTACTACTTTGTACCTCGGAAGTTGAAGCTGTATTTGTTCCTGTTGAAACAGCTGACAAATCGCCCTCTTCGCAGGATGTGGATGAAGCCCGATTTTGACTACTAACATCTTTCCCGTGTATAAGTTTCCTAAGCTTCTTAAGAAACTTGACTCTGCTTGAGTTATTGGTCTTGGAACGAGATGACTTATCAGCAGATGAGTCATCAGGGATTTCTGAGTCTGTCAAATATGACATTTGGGAGGATGACCACTCAGAATCGAAATCTGTAATGTTCCCTCCTTCAGTATTTGCATATTCAACTATTAGCCGCTTGGCTTTGTCCTCAGATTGAGGACTTAGAGTTTTGCTCAGGTCTCTTGCAACTGTCTTACCAGCTGGCGGCTCATAATTCCGCAGCTCATATCGTAAGCAAGCATTTATCCATTTAAGATATACCAATTCTTCAACACCAACACATTTATCTGCCTGGAGTTGTTCAATTTCCTTGGTCAAAGACTCGTTCTCTTGTTTCAAGTGGTCACTTGTTTCCTTAAGCGCTTCCATCTGCAACAGAATGTGCCGGAGATATAAATTCAAGAATAGCAATGTATAGAAGAAATATAACAAGATTTATCACAAACAGACCCAATTACCTCTGGATTTTCCATCACAGAAATTGCAAGCATTTGGGTGGAGTCCAACTTCTTTGCCAATTCAGAATTTTCTAGCTGCAATTTCATGTTAGACTTTCTCAACTCTTCTGCTTCGTCCTCCAAAACCTTTAGCCTCTGAAGTTTTGCCTGAGTATCTGGATCACTTGCAGCAGCCTTGTAGTCTTGTTCTTGCAACTTAGCAACCCTTTTCTGAAGGACTAAGATTTGTTCCTTGTTATGCTCAGCTTCAGACCTCAGTTTTTTCTTGAGAACCTTAATTTTTGATCTTGCGGCTTCAAGTTCAGCCACAATTTTTTCATAATCAGCCACTTGTGCCTCAAGTCTTCTGTTATTTGCTTGTAAGGACTCAATCTTGAGAGTAAGAAGTTTGGTCTCCATATTGTTTATCTTCAATCGGTTCTGGAGCTCCATCACAGCTGTTTCTTGCTCTTTGAGGCCATAATACTCGAGTAATTGGATCTCAAGATTCCTTTCCCTCTCCCGGAGCATTTTAACCATGTTTGTTAATTGCCGGACCTCTTCATCACATTCATCTGTCTCTGAACTCCTAAATGCTTTCGGACTTTCTACATCTGACCTAGGAGTTTCTGCTTCTTTCCCAGAATTGGAGCTAGCAAAGTCATAGTCCTTCACAAGATCATTATACTCCGGCAAGAGGAGTCCATCGTTATCTCCACTAAGTCTACTACTTGGCGAAAGATCAACCATAGAATTATCAGCAGTGGCCTTCGGCTCATAAGAGTCTTCCTGCAAGAGAATAGTGATAGAAAATATAAACTAATTGAGATTCTTTATGACATTCCAGATTCTAAATTCTCTTAGCAGATGAAAACAAGATTTCATTTTTCAAGCATTTCAATGTTCAATTGGTTCATAAATTCATCAGGCCTTTGGTTAGAACTGTAAAACTTTGTATCTAAAAGACACACACCTTCAATTTGAGAAAATTTATGAGCGAAACAGAAAAAGGAAACTAACAGGAGAGGGAACTGTAATTTGACAGAACTAACATTTTTCTGGGCTGCAACTGAAACAATGCTGCAGGAACTTACATCATCTTTACACTGCGCTCTACCTCTTAATTCAAGGTCATCACCAGAATCTAAAACAACACATGACATGATACCATAAAAAAGTCGAATACCAAAGCAAAATCAAAATCAAAACTGGATACTGAAAAGGAAGAAATTCAAACCTGAGTTGCGAGGCAAAGAAGGTGGCGGCGGCAAAGAGGGTTTAGGTCTTTTAGGCCTAAGGCGAGAATAAATAAAGCCTGCTAAAGATATAGTGAGTGCTACCCCAACTTTTATAAGAATAGGCCTTATATCTCTCTTGTCTCCAAGCTTCATGGTTAAAAAAATTACTAACAAAAGCTTCTATTCCTCAATCCACAAATCAGAATCACAAATCTTCTTCTTCATCCTCCATCTACATAGTCAATGTTTAATAAAAAAAAAAAAACTTTAGAAAACTACTCTCAAATTAAACAAAATAAAAACCGAAACCATTTACAATCAATCAAAGAGAAAGAGGGAGAGATCACAAAGTCCTTTGAATAATCAAACATCCCATAAGCCATAATCAGCATAATTCATCATAGAGTAAACCAGAAAAGCACATAATTAAATTAAAAAGCAGAAACATAAACAAATTTTTTATCAACTTATGATGATTCAAACTTTACATGATCCATCACAAACTAAACCAGAAAAGCTTATAAAAATGAAGAAAACAAACAGAACCCGTTTCATATAACTCAACTTTGATCAGTAAACACACAAAAAAGGAACAGCAAAAGCAAAAGCTAATCAATACCCAATTCAATAAACATGACAAAGAGGAGAGGAAAAAACCAAATAACCCAAATGAAATAAAACCAAAAACAGCTATAAAAACAAGAAAGAAGAAGAACCCACATGAGTTTTCATGTTGATATTATGAAGAAATGGAAAAAGAAGAACTTACAATTAAATAGAAGACAGTAAAACGCATTTGAATCAATAAAGGATCAACAGAACAGTAACTGCTCTAATGTTACTTATTGATTTTCTGTTTCAACTGTGTATCTGTTTTTGTCAATCTCCTCTTATTTCAATCTCTCTCAAAACACAACTCAAGCCAAAACAGACACTTAAGTGAATACAACAATTACATAAATTAATAATGGCGATGAGTTTTGTCTTATGTCATGTTCAGAAGATTCGATTCCAACTAGAAACTAAACATGAAATTAAGGGCTTAGGATTATTTAATTATAGAAAATTTGTAGGTGGAAATGATGGAAGGCCTAATTTTAAGCGCCCTTTCTTCTCTAATTTTCCTACATGTCTCACTATCTTTACTCTTTAGTTGGAATTTGGCAACAAATTTTGTCTGTAAAATTTTTTTTAATCTCTTGATTAATAAATTCAGTTAAATTTTGGATTTTTTTATTTTTTATTTTAATTTAATATAAGATTTGTTATGATTTGATCATATGCCCATATCTCAAACTTTGATTTCTCCTCTTGTTTGACTATTCTTTTATTTAATCATTTACTTTGGTTAATGAATTGTGAATAATTAATAGATTTTGTAAAATATTGATTATATTAATGTTTGAATTAATTATTTTATGTATTTTATTCTATAGTATCACACTCAAGAGTTTGTCACATTCATTATAATTTTATATAATATAATTAATCATCCTTTGAAAATTAGAGATCCTTTGAGTCCCTTTCATAACTATTTCATCAATTGTTTAATTACTTCTTTCCTTATATTAATCAACATATATATATAAGTTACTTTGTTTTTAAAATAATTATTTATAAGTTACTTCTTTAAACAAGTATCATAAAATAAAATGATTAAAGCTTGTAATTAATTAAACTAATTTTTTCCAATAAAATCTTTTTCGTGAACATGGAGGATGAAGGTATCTTCCACGTACGTTGAATGAATTGAATAATATGGAAAAGAAAGGTTCTTTGTCAAGCTCACGTTTTTGTTTTCTATTAAACTAAGGGTTTAACTTTTAACACATGTCATTTAATTATTCTACCTAACTTTCCCTTTATTCCCCATTTTAAGAAATTAATTTAATTTCAATCTCACCTAATTAATTATTTTTTAGTGGTTCACAAAAATTTCCATCTTATACGAAGTTGAGTAATAAGATTTTCTTCTTCGCTTTGACTTCATAAATTATTTTTCTTTAATATTTGGTAAATCCGATAATTGTCTTTTCTACGACTCAAAGACATAACCTGTTGGGTATACCGTATAGTTAACCATTTGACTATAAAAGGAAAGGTTACAACTTACGAATTAAATTTTAAATTTCCCTAAGACTAAAAAAAAAATCTTTTATGTTTGTTGATACTCTTTTCAATCTATTGAGACAGGTTGAAATATTTCATTTTAAAATATTATAATGTATGATTACGTCAATATAATTATCAAATTGACAGCTAATTTTATATATGTAGGTATAGTCCAATAATTGACTCATAATCAATAGAATTATTGTGTCAATACTATTATATTATTCATTGCTAGATCTTATGTGTTGATCTTGTTTATGCATATTTATTATAAATATTTTTCCATTGTATCATCATATTAACATCAATCTTTAATGAAGTTGATCAAAAATCTTTTTCATTAAATAAGTATAGGAATTGTAGTTGGAGAAATTATGGTTCGAATCTTGACACATCGAACCTCTTTCCATCAAGCATGCTGGCAGCTGGCTATTGAATATAATTAAATTCCAAAGGAGTGATACCATTGCAAGGACAAATATCACTGTGTATCTCTTTTATTAGGAGATAGAAAGTGAATTGAAAGGGAGTTCATTTAGTCTTGACAATGTCCTAGTTTCGAGTCTTCACCATCGGCCTTTGGTGATGTGGTATATCTACATCTTGGATCTCATTTGCATCAAGGTTTTAAAACCCATACCAGATAAGTCGGTTCAACCTAGACTCGGACATTAATTTAGACCACTGAACCGACAAGAATAGTGTCGAATCGCAGTTCAACCATCAAGTTAGAGAATCAATGTGGTCATGTTGACGTCTACTTAAACCTTAAACTCTAAAATTTTAGAAATTTATTAATTTTTAAAATTTTAAATTTTTATTACGTTATGTTGACATCAACATGACATCATTAGTCCGATTCGTCTGTCGGGCTACTCGGGGACCGACTCTTTGACCGGATCAAGGCCCAATCCGGATAATAAAATAGTGATTTAGGTAGATACACTTAGCTTCGGCCCCAACATGAGTGCGGTGGGAATGCCTCCTTGCAACTGTCACTCTCCGTCTAGGTTTACTTCCTCTTTTTCCTTCACAACTTCATTTCCTTACTTCTTCCTTCTGTTGGGCTTGGGCTTTGGCTTTTATTGTATTTTTTTTCTTATTAAACCCATTCCTGCAAAATACAAACCCAACAACAAAAACCCATATACAACCAGAATTGGGTTCTACAATGGCACATGAAAGAACACAAAGACATGCAGGAGATAATCAAATAACTCATCAACGTTCCAATGTGAGTCAGCTGATAACTAAAAAGAGAAGAAATTACCAGTGAGTCAGTAGCAGCAAATGCAGGCTTCAAGTTCAATCTCAGAATCGATTAAATGGCGCCACCACCAGTCCTCTCATGCTTCCTATTCCACTTATCGTAAAGTTCACATAGAATCTGACCCGCAGTGTAACTTATCTCTAATACCTCTAACGTTCTCCTCTCTGAAAAATCTTCTGGCAATACATTAATTAACATGGAGCACCAAGAAAATTTCAAGGTGCGAAGACATGGCATGACTATGATATCTTCACATTCATCATTCATTCCCCCGACAACCATTTTAAGTTCTTGTGTGAAAATGCAGTGCAGGTGCTGTATATATGGACGAAGCCATTTTAACTTCTTGGAAATATTCTTGTAACAAGTGGCAAATTGGAACGTTAAAATCACTCGGAATATTTGCTTCAAAATTGTGCTTCTAATTACTTTGATGATATTTTAAGTAATTTATTTGGCTTTTCATTTACAAACCCGTTCTTCATTTTTCATATTAATCCTCCTTACAATCTTTCTCATTAAAAGAGTTTAGGGTTGTAGTTGGAGAAATTAAGTAATTAAATGATAATCTTAAATAATGAGTAGTGACTGTAGACGTAAAAATCTACCTGTACGGAAAGGGGGGTCTGATCCGTGAGGTTGAGGCCACTAGCGATCTGCGTACCTGCACACGTAGAGAAACACTCGCATGAAGCGAACGGGAAACACCAGGGTGGTGTTTGCCGTAGGCACTCCGACGCTCAAGTCAGCAAGGCTGAAAGGGGCTACTAAATAGTGAGGGCTAAGGAATAAGAGATTACCGGAAGTCTAGTCGGGGACTGTGACTACGGCGATAGTGAAACTCTCGAGTAAAGAGTCTCGGTGTGAAGGTGTAATGTTGATGTCTTGTGTGAGGGCAGGCCTCTGCTTATATAGTGGTCGCGTCTGGTCTCCCCCATCCGGGGGAACAGGAGTCCTCATCTGACTCTGATGTAAACCCTAGAAGAATTAGGGTCGTGGTGAGTTGTCTTACGTGTCCAAATAGGAAGGTAACTATGTATAGAGAATTCGCCAAGTAGGAAAGTGGTCAAGAATAGGAAGGCGTCTTTGAATGGAGGTTGATTGGAATAGGAAATTACTATGACAGGGCTGTGGGCTCTGGATTCGTCCGAGGACCTAGGAAATGGGTAGGTTTGAGAGGCTTGTGCCGCTTGATTTGAGCCGGTTTATACCCAGTTAAAAGAGAACTACCATGGCTTGGGCCTTTGCAGGACTGGGCCTGGTCCGTCTTCGCTAATGGTCCTATTTCCCTATTTGGGCCAAGGACGATTTTTGGCCCTAACAGTTTGTCCCCCACTCTCTGAGTTGAGAGTATCTCAAGTTAGAGAGTAGGTTGCGCTCAAGGCGAGCTCGTTTTTCCTCATGGACGAGCGATCATTGGAGAGAGTTGACCGACGCAAGTGATTTGATTGGGTCTTGGTCGGTATCCATTCCTGAACAAGAGCATGCACCAGCGTTGTGCCTGATCGGTTCGATGAGCCGAAGAGCGAAAGCTAGGTTAGGGGCTCGTTACGTTACGCGGATTATCGCGGAAACAGCGCGAGGGGGGTTATTCGTCCTGCCAGGTCGGGCGAAGCCCAGGAAGTTTACCGAGGAGATCCATTCGGTCGGGCTGTGGGGACGACCAGATAGGTGGGGAGACCGAACATGTGACCACTCGTTTGCCTGGATGGGCGAATGGACGAGGCTTGATGGCTTTCTAAAGATTTTAACTCGGGCTACGCCGAGCTCGTGGCTCGATCGTTCGGGCCTTCCGGGACGGTTGAATGCGAGACGTCTGAGAAGGCTCGACCTGAGAAGCTTAGTCGGTGGGACGGGTTGAACGGCCTAGTACACTATTGGGGCGAATATCGGATGGGTGTCAGAACAATTTCTGGATATTGAGGCTGAGTCGGCCAGGAGGGTCGGGCGACCGAGATGGGGAATCCGTACAGGTCCACGATTTCCAAGTGGTTAGGATTGCTGCCACGTGTATGGTGGTGATTTGTCCGTCGTTTCGAGAGCGGGAAAACGAAAAGACTCCTGACACCTGGCCAATCGCAACTGCCAACGTGTCCACGCTTCCTTTACAAATTTGGAGAATCGGCTGTTCGTCTTCCATTTGCGTTGGCTTTGGTTTTTAGTCTGAAAAAATTTCTCTTCCTGTTTTTCTTCGTTTTTTTGTCCCGTTTTTTGAGCGAAGGTGATCTTCTACAATCATCCAAGGTAATTCTTCCTTTTGGCGTCGTTTTATTGTTCTTTAGGCAGATTTTCTTTTTTGATAGAATTTCTGGAAAGTAAAACAATGAGGTTTTGAGTTTTTTGGGTGGGTTTAAACTGGGTTTCCAGGCGTTTTTGGTGTTAGGACTTTGGTGAATGCTTTTGGGTTTGAGTTTTCCGGTGGATTTCCGGGAAGAATTTGGTTGTAGGTGAATTTTCTGGGTTTTTGGGTTTGGGCCTGGAAGACGAAGTCAATTTTGGCGTTGTTTGGGTCGGTCGGTACGTCTGACCGAGTGGCGAGGAGTGTGATTAGGGGATCGGTCGCTCAGGGCGAGTGAGTTTAGGTGGAGGGAGTAGTGATCAAGGTCAGCAGACGGCTACGATTGAAGTTCGAGGTGG